TCTTCAAATCTGTCATCTTTCTCTTCCCTTAGGCTGTTCATTCTCAAGTTTTCCTCTCTCTTCCTTTCCCCAGGACTCTCTCTCCATTTTCAAATTCTTTTTTCCCCAAGTCTCTCTCTTTGCCAGGCCTCTCTCACTTTCTCTTTCCAGATCTTCCAGGTCCTTCTTTCCCCAAATCGCTCGTCCCCAGATCTTCCTCCCTCTTTTTTCTCCAAGTTTCTTACTTTTTCCTTGACAAAATCGTTCCTTTTATTTCCCCAGGATCTGTGTCTTTCTCAATGTCACTCTTTCCACGCGTCTCTCGATCTTTTCCCTCAGGTCTCTGTTTCCCCGGTTCGCTCTCTCTCTCCCGTAAATCTTTCTTCTTTTCTCTAGATCTCTTCCTCTTCCTCAGATCTTTCACGTCCCTCTTTCCCCAAATCGCTCTTTGCAGGACTTTTCTTTCTTTTTTTTCCCCGAGGTCTTTCCCCATTTTCTCAGATCTCTTTTTTTCCGCAAGTTGTCCTTTCTCAGGTTTTCCTATTTTTTACTTTCCCTAATTTTCTCTCTCTTTCCCTCGCTCTCCAGGTCTCTCTCCCTCCCTTTTGTTTTCCCAAAGCATCTCTTTCCGTTTTCCCATGTCGTTCTTCTATCTTTCCCCAGATCGCTCCCTTTCCCAGGTAGAGTAAAAGAACTGAGAAAGAACTGTCTATATTTTTCCAGGTTGCTCTTTTCACAGATATCTCGCTCTCTTTTCCCAGGTCTCTTTCTTTCCCCACATCTTTCTCTTTCTCCTAAGTCTTTCCCTATGTCTTCCCCTATTTCTTCAAATCTGTCATCTTTCTCTTCCCTTAGGCTGTTCATTCTCAAGTCTTCCTCTCTCTTCCTTTCCCCAGGTCTCTCTCTCCATTTTTTCAAATTCTTTTTCCCCAAGTCTCTCTCTTTGCCAGGCCTCTCTCACTTTCTCTTTCCAGATCTTCCAAATCCTTCTTTCCCCAAATCGCTCGTCCCCAGATCTTCTTCCCTCTTTTTTCTCCAAGTCTCTTACTTTTTCCTTGACCAAATCGTTCCTTTTATTTCCCCAGAATCTGTGTCTTTCTCAATGTCACTTTTTCCACGCGTCTCTCGCTCTCTTTTCTCAGGTCTCTGTTTCCCCGGTTCGCTCTCTCTCCCGTAAATCTTTCTTCTTTTCTCTAGATCTCTTTCTCTTCCACAGATCTTTCACGTCCCTCTTTCCCCAAATCGCTCTTTGCAGGACTTTTCTTTCTTTTTTTCCCCAGGTCTCTCTCTTTCTCCGAGGTCTTTCCCCATTTCCTCAGATCTCTCTCTTTTTCCGCAAGTTGTCCTTTCTCAGGTTTTCCTATTACTTACTTTCCCTAATTTTCTCTCTCTTTCCGTATCTCTCTTTCCCTTTCTCTCCAGGTTTCTCTCCCTCCCTTTTGCTTTCCCAAAGCATCTCTCCCCGTTTTCCCAACTCGTTTTTCAATCTTTCCCCAGATCTGTCCCTTTCCCAGGTAGAGTAAGAGAACTGGGAAAGAACTCTCTATATTTTTCCAGGTTGCTCTTTCTACAGATCTATCGCTCTCTTTTCCCAGGTCTCTTTCTTTCCCCACATCTTTCTCTTTCTCCTAAGTCTTTCCCTATGTCTTCCCCTATTTCTTCAAATCTGTCATCTTTCTCTTCCTTTAGGCTCTTCATTTTCAAGTTTTCCTCTCTCTTTCTTTCCCCAGGTCTCTCTCTCCATTTTTCAAGTTCTTTTTTCCCCAAGTTTCTCTCTTTGCCAGGCCTCTCTCACTTTCTCTTTCCAGATCTTCCAGGTCCTTCTTTCCCCAAATCGCTCGTCCTCAGATCTTCCTCTCTCTTTTTTTCTCCAAGTCTCTTACTTTTTCCTTGACCAAATCGTTCCTTTTATTTCCCCAGGATCTGTGTCTTTCTCAATACCACTCTTTCCACACGTCTCTCGCTCTCTTTCCTTAGGTCTCTGTTTCCCCGGTTCGCTCTATCTCCCGTAAATCTTTCTTCTTTTCTCTAGATCTCTTCCTCTTCCTCAGATCTTTGACGTCCCTCTTTTCCCAAATCGCTCTTTGCAGGACTTTTCTTTCTTTTTTCCCCAGGTCTCTCTCTTTCCCCGAGGTATTTCCCCATTTCCTCAGATCTCTCTCTTTTTCCTCAAGTTGTCCTTTCTCAGGATTTCCTATTTCTTACTTTCCCTAATTTTCTCTCTCTTTCCGTATCTCCCTTTCCCTCTTTCTCCAGATCTCTCTCCCTCCCTTTTGCTTTCCCAAAGCACCTCTTTCCGTTTTCCCAACTCGTTCTTCTATCTTTCCCCAGATCTCTGCCTTTCTCAGGTAGACTAAGAAAACTGGGAAAGAACTCTCTATTTTTTCCAGGTTGCTCTTTCCACAGATCTCTCGCTCTCTTGTCCCAGGTCTGTTTTTTCCCCAAAATGCTTCTCTTTCTCCTAAGTCTCCCCCTATTTCTTCAGATGTCATCCGTCTCTTTTTGTAGGTTGTTCTCAGGTTTTCTTCTCTTTCTTTCCCTCCCTCTTTTTCCAGGTGTCCCTCTCAATTTTTTCAGGTTCTTCTTTTTTTCCCCAAGTTTCTCTCTTTTCCAGGCCTTTCTCTCTTCTTCTTGGCGAGATCTCTCAGGTTCCTTTTTCCCAAAATCGTTTCTTCCCAGATCTTCCTCCCTCTTATTTGCCCAATTTAGTGTCTCCTTGAATAAATCGCTCCTTTTATTTCCCCAGGTCTCTCTGTCTTTCTCAAGGTCCCTCTTCCCAAGTCTGTTTCTCCATTTCCCTCTCTTTTCCAAGTCTCTCTCTTTTTCCCAGATCTTCCTCTTCCTCAGATCTTTCACATTCCTTTTTCCCCAAATCGCTCTTTCCAGGACTTTTCTTTCCCCAGGTCTCATTCTGTGTGTCTCTTTCCCCTAGGTCTCTCCCCATTTCCTCAGGTCCCTCTCTTTTTTCCGCAAGTCGTTCTATCTCAGATGTTCCCATTTTTTTATTTTCCACAATTTTCTTTCTATTTTCATATTCCTCTTTCTCTCCAGGTGTCTTTTTTCCTTTTCCCGGCTCGGTCCTCTATCGTTCCCCAGATCTCTCTCTCTTTCGGGCAGAGGAAGAGAATTGGGAAAGAGTTCTCTCTCTCATTCCCAAGTCTCTCTATCTTTTTCCGGGTTGCTCTTTCCACAGATCTCTCGCTCTCTTTTCCCAGGTCTCTTTCTCCTAAGTCTTCCTGTATTTCTTCAGTTCTTTCATATTTCTTTTTCCATGGGTCGTTCATTCTCAGGTTTTCTTCTCTCTTTCATTTTCCAGGTTCTTCTTCATTTTCCCCCAAGTCTTTCGCTTTCTCAGGTCTCTCTCTCTCTCTCTCTCTCTCTCTTTCAACAGATCTCTTCTTTTATTTCCTCAGGTTTGGCTGTTTTTCTCAAGGTCGCTCTTTCCACAAGTCTCTCGCTCTCTTTCTCTTCTTTTTCTAGTGTCCTTTCTTTCCCCTAATTTCTCTCTTTTCCAGGTATCCCTTTCTCTTTCCCTAGATCTTTCTCTTCTCTCTTTCAACATATCTTTCTGTTTCTTTTCTCAGATCTCTCTCTTTTTCCATCTCTTTCTTCTTTGCCCAGGTCTCTCTCGTTTTTCCTTCAAGAAATCTCTCTCTTTATGTCTCCAGGTCGCTATTTCTAGAAATTTCTCGCTCTCTTTTCCCTAAATTTCTCTCTATTTCCCCAGATCTCGATTCTCTTTCTTTCTCCATGTCTTTCTCTCTTTCTAACAAAACAAATTAAAAAACGTCCATTGTTTGATGTATTTATTACAAAATTTACAGACACTGTAAAAATCCATTTTTGTTAAAGTTAAAAATATTATAATTGTTACACTTATTAGAAGTAAAATAGAATTTCTAATGGATTGAAATGTGTTGGATGCGCCGGGAAAAACTATTTTATCAATACATTTCTTATATTATCCATAATTTGTAAATAATTTAATACAATTTTCGTTATTTTTATAAAAACAAAATCTGAAAGAGTAATATTACAGTTATATCCGTTGTAAGTGCGATAAAAATGTTATTACCTATGAGCACGGAATTCGCTTACAACGACATGTGTAATTACGGAAAAATAATGCCTTAGGGAAGAAAATTTAATCTACGACATCAGAATTTGTTTAAAATCGTTTGATTAAGTGAAACAGATATTTAATTGTTGTGGGTGCGGCAACGTAAATAATTATTTCCATTATTGCCTAATTCACGTGAGTGGAATAAAATAAATTAATCCCACGGGGTTGTGACTATCTTTTTTCGACATGGTGAAAAATAACACTATTTGACTCAGCCGGATCGAAACCATTTAAAACTTTAACATAAAATTATCAGGATTCCCAAGGATAACAAAAATTGTATTTATTGTGAAATAAACTTTGTGTCACAGTTTTGGTGGAGGCGCCGGGCAAAACGCCGAAAATTTCGTAACAATAAAATAATTTTTTACTAGTATTCACCCTTTTTTCTCTTTACTTATGTGAAAATAATACTATTACAGCAATTAAGTATGGGGTTACTTCAACCAGAAAAAATAGGCGTAGTATCCACAAACATAAATATTAAATAAATAACGAGTGTTATTTCATATCAAACAGTGCTTTCGTGCTTTGACCATGTATCCGTCTGGAAATACCACAACTTAACCTTATTCTGATGGGTGAATAAACGAATGAACTTTGAATTATTAATGGCCACAAGTGCGTATTCGCATTGACTTCAAAGCGACGACAAAAAATCAAGTTTAACCCTTCATTTCAACAAAATGTTTTTTTTGGAAAATCGAACCTGAATTTTTAGATTTTTGGCTATTGATTTAGCCTCACATGACCCTCCATCTGCTCCTAACGTTTTCTGAGTCCATACAAACTAATGAAATATCAATAATAATAATAATCGACAAAATGGCCGTCGTCACGTCACACTTTATTTTTATTGTATCAAATGCATAAACGCTTTTTTCCGTATTTGTTCCAGCTACAACGCCACAGTTTTCGCCTATGGCGCCACCGGTGCCGGCAAGACCCATACCATGGTCGGTGACTCATCCCAACCCGGAATCATGGTGCGTGCCTTAAACGATATCTTCGAAACCGTGAAAGGAAAACAAGATCAATATTCAGTGAGTACAGAATTCGCCAACTCTCAGTCATAATTGCTACCGAAAAAAAGCTCGTCACGGGATCGATCCCCCACATTATAAACCCAGCTGACGCACACTTTCCAGCTAAAAATAAAACCTAATTCGCACGAGATGACTTTTCTCGGACGAAATTAGAAAAGCGTGATTTATTCAATGCCTGCTCCACCATAAATACAAATTTAGTACCGAAGTCGTAGGCGGCAAATGTCTCCATGAATACCGTATGAAGACAAAGCCGGGTTAACAAAACCGCTTTATTGACACCAGGGGGTACATTATTAAGGCGCTTTTTTCGTTGCTGGGTATCGATTGTTAAATTTTCCTTACTGGAATAATTGATATGGGTGTAATGGAATACGTTGATAATGTTGGTTGCGTGATGCACTTTGAATAGAGCGGCGGTATTTACGGACAGTGGTGCCAACAGAAATTCGAGAAATTAATGCGTCATCAATCATAGATGAAACGTGAATTGTGGGTCCTTGGGGGTTGGAGGTCGATTAATGAAGTTGGCGGAACTGGAGATGGTTGGGTTGGGGGTAGTACGGAGGGGATGGCGTGACCATTGACCATCTTTGTGTAGCGTCGGAAGGAAAAATGAGAGGCGAGGTTGATTTTTATCAGTGAGTTATGAGGGGCTGGTTTATGACATGGAGAGATATTTTACTGGAAAATGTGTGGATTGCTATTTTAAAGAATGGGTTTTCATTCATTGAAAACGTCGACGTTGTAGGTCAAAGTCGGTTAAAAATAAAAGAATTGATTTATGCTGAAAGTTTTAATTTTTTTTGTGTAAAACTGACATGACTGAAGATATTTTAAATTTCCAATTCTCTTCAGAAACTTAACCAAGTCATGGAAAACCGAATTGTGGTTTTTACTTTCTAAACATGAATCGTTAATCAAAATTTATTCATTTATCCCCTCTCAAAAAATTGATGACGTCATCTGAAAATTTTACAATTTTCGACCAATTTTGTTTTGTCATTTTCTTTTATTTTTCAATTTTTCCTATCCCCAGTTTTTCATTTTCTTGATTTTTATTTCTCATTTTCTGGATTTTATATCACAAATTTTCGTTTTTTCATTCCCCTTATTTTTTCAATGTTTCTTTCGATTTCATAATTTATCGTTTATTCAGTTTTCCAAATTTTCAATCCTTGATTTTCCAGTTCCCCGATTTTCCAATTTTTAAATTTTCGCTTCGTTTTTTCGCTTTTGCACTTTTTTGATTTTTAAGTTTCTCAATTTTTAATCTTTCGATTTTTGAATTTTTCGTTTCTTCAATTTTTCAAGTTCTTGATTTCCAACTTTTTGATTTTTCAAAGTTTTCATTTTGTACGTTATAGTTTTTCATTTTTAATTTTTCAACTGAAAAATCGAAAAATGAAAAATCGAATAATTGAAAAAAAAATCGAAAATTAATTTTGAAGAACCGAAGAGTTGGAAAAAAACTAATCGAATTGAAAAATTGGAAAACCCAAAAATTGTGAATTCGAAAAATTAGAGAACTGTCAAAATTGTAAAATCGAAAAACTAAAACATTAAATCCCGAGAAATTGAAAAATAAAAAATTGAATAAATGAAAAATTTTTAAAATCCAATAACTGAAAAATCGAAAAATTCTATTCTAAATTCGTAAAATTGAAAATGTGAAAAAATGTAAAAATTATGTTTATTATTACACACATTTAAAATGAAAATTATAAAATTGCAAATCAAAAATTGAAGAACGAGAAATCTAAAATTGAAAAAACGAAAAATTGAAAAATTTCACATTGCAAATAAAATTATAAAATCAAAATCTTGAAAATCCGAAAAATTGAAAAAATAAAGAAAATAAAAATCGAAATGAAAAATTTCAAATCGAAAAATTGACGAAATGAAAACGCGAATAATTGAAAATTTGAAAAACTAAAAAATCGGAAAAAAATTGAAAAACTGAAAAGTTATATTTATTATTACATCTATTTAAAATGAAAATTATAAAAATTGCAAGTCAAAAATTGAAGAAACGGGATATCTAAAAAAAAAACGAAAAACTAAAAAATAAAGAAAATAAAAAACCGAAACGAAAAATTTCAAATCGAAAAATTGTCGAAATGAAAAACCAAATGACTGAAAAATCGAAAAACTAAAATGTCGACAAAAGATTGAAAAATTGAAAAACTGAAAACACGAAAAATTGCAAAATCCAAATAGTGGAAAATTGAAAAATTGCAAATCGGAGAACTGAAGAAATCAAAACTGAGACATTTAAAAACTAAAAATCGAGAAACTTAAAAATCGAAAACTAATTTTGAAGAATCGAAAAGTTGGAAAAAAAAACAAATAGAATCGAAAATTTTGAAAATCCGAAAGTTGTAAATTCGAAAAATTAGAGAATCGTCAAAATTGTGAAATCGAAAAACTGTAACATTGAAACATCGAAAAAATACCGAAAAGTTGAAAAAATCGAAGGACTGAAAAATCGAATAAATGAAAAAGTTTTAAAATCCAATATCTGAAAAATCGAAAAATTTTATACTCGTAAAATTGACAAAATGATAAAATGTAAAAATTATATTTATTATTACATATATTTGAAATGAAAATTATGAAAATTGCAAAACGAAAAATTGAAAAATTTAACATTAAAAATCAAAAAACTGGAAAAAATAAAAAAACGAAAATGTAATTGAAAAATCGAAAAACTAAAAAATCGGGAAACATTGAACTGAAAAACTAAAAAAACGAGAAATTGCAAAATCGAAAAAAATTGGAATTAAGGAATCAAAAAACTGAAAAAATTGGAACTGAAAAATCGAAAAATCTAAAAGTCGAAGAGTGGAAAATCAAAAACTCGGGAAATCGAAGAATTGAAACATCGAATAATTGGAAAAATGAAACTTAGAGAAATCGAAAGATCAAAAGATCGAAAAATCAAAAAGTCCATAAGTTAAAAATTTAAAAATCGAGAAATCGGAATAGCTCAAAATCGAAAAATTAAAATTTAACAAAAAACGAAAAATCGAATAATTTAAAACCGACAAATTGAAAAACTGAAAACTGTATAATTTTGAAATCGAAAAATTGAAAAATCGGAAATCTGAAAAATCAAAAAATTAAAATGTCAAAAAATTGAAGAATCGAAAAACTTAAAAATCGAGAAATCGAAAAATCGAAAAATCAAGGAACTGAATAATCAAAAACCTGAAAAATCGAAAAATTGAAATAAAATTTCAAAAGATCGAGAAATCAAAAAGTTGAGAAATTGAAAAATTGAAAAACCGAAAAATCAAAATAGCTCAAAATCGAAAAATTGAAATTTGAGAAACTGAAAAATTTTAATTAAAAAAAACGAAAATTTGAATCTGGATAAATCAAGAAATCGATAAAGCTGAAAATTCAAAAAATTTAAAAACCGACAAATTGAAAAATTGAAAATTGTAAAATTTAAAAAAAAACAAAGAAATGAAAAATCGGAAAACTGAAAAATCAAAGAGCAAGAAATGGAGAAATCGAAAAGTTTAAAATTTAAGAAATCAAAAAATTAAAATGTCAAAAAATTGAAGAATCGAAAAACTGAAAGGTTATAATATAGAAACATCGAAAAACAGAGGAATCGAAAAATTTTAAAGTCGAAAAATCAAAAAGTCGAGACGTTGAAAAATTGAAAAACGCAGAAATTGAAAAATTAAAAATCGAAAAATTGAAAAATCGAATAAATGAGTAAGTTTTAAAATCCAATAATTGAAAAATGTAAAAATTCTAAACTGGTTAAATTGACAGAGTAAAAAAAATATAAATGGATTCTATTTATCATTGCATATCGAAAATAAAAATTTTAATCAAAAATTTACGAAACGAGAAATCTAAAATTGAAAAAACGAAAAATTGATGTTTCACATTGAAAAAAAATTATAAAATCAGAACATTGAAAATCCGAAAAACTGAATAATTTGAGAGAATAAAAAGACGAAAGGAAAAATTAAAAATCGAAAAATTGACGAAATGAAAAACCGAATAATTGAAAAATCAAAAAACTAAATAATTGGAAAAAAACTGAAAAACTGAAATCGAAAAAGTGCTAAATTGAGAAATTTCAAATCGAGGAACTGAAGAACTCAAAACCTGAAACATTAAAAAACTAAAAATCGAGAAACTTAAAAATCGAAATTAATTTTGAAGAATCGATAATTAAAAAAAAACGAATCGAATCAAAAAATTGGAAAACACGAAAATTATAAATTCGAAAAATTAGAAAATCGTCAAAATTGTAAAATCGGAAAACTGAAAAATTAAATACCGAGAAATTGAAAAATTAAAAGTCGAAAAATTGAAAAATCGACTGAATGAAAAAGTTTTAAGATCATCCAATAACTGAAAAATCGAAAAATTTTAAACTCATAAAATTGAAAAAATGAAAAAATGTAAAAATTATGTTTATTGTTTATTACATTTATTTAAAGTGAAAATTATAAAAATTGAAAAAAGGAAAAATTGAAAAACTTTATATTGAAAAAAATATATAAACTCAGAATATTAAAAATCCAAAAAATTGAAAAAATAAAATTAAAAACCGAAACGAACAATTTCAAATCGAAAAATTGTCGAAATGAAAAACCGAATAATTGTAAAATCGAAAAACTGAAATAACGAGAAAAACTGTAAAATTGAAAAACTGAAAATACGAAAAGTGGAAAATTGGAAAATTGCAAATCGAATAACTGAAGAAACTAACAACTGAAACACGAGAAACTTAAAATTCGAAATTAATTTTGAAAACACGAAGAATTCGAAAAATTAGAGAATCGTCAAAATTGAAAAATCGAAAAACTGTAAAATTGAAAGATGGAAAAACTGAAAAATTAAATACCGAGAAATTGAAAAATTAAAAATCGAAAAATTTTGAGCTCGTCAAGTTGAAAAAGTGAAAAAATATAAAAATTATATTTATTATTACATATGTTATTATTTAAAATGAAAATTATAAAAATTGCAAATCAAAAATTGAAGAAACGAGAAATCTAAAATTGAAAAAACGAAAATTTGAACAATTTCAAATTGAGAAAAAAAAATAAGATCAGAATATTGAAAATCCAGAAAAATTGAAAAAATGAAGAAAATAAAAAACCAAACGAAAAATTTCAAATCGAAAAATTGCCGAAATGAAAGACCGAATAATTGAAAGATCGAAACCCTAAAAAATCGGGAAAAAATTGAAAAATTAAAAAACGAAAAATTGCAAAATCGAAAAAGTGGAAAATTGAAAAATTGCAAATCAAAGAACTGAAGAAACCAAAAGCCGAAAGACTGAAAAGAATCAATTTTGAAGAAATGAAAATTTGGAAAAAAACGAATCGAATTGAAAAATTGGAAAACCTGAAATTTGTAAATTCGAAAAATTAGAGAATCGTCAAAATTGTTTTTCATATTTTGGCCGGAAATTTGCACATTTGTGGGTTTAATTTAACAATGTTTAAACAATTTGATTTGTTTTTAATAACTTCGTGTTTGTAGGCAAACGCTTTTCGGTTTAAGTATTTAAACATTATTTAATTATGTATGATAAAACCAGAGGTTGCATGGACTGATTTCACCAATAAATTTTTTAACTTTTGAAAAATTATTTTCAATTTGACAGCTGATTATTGTGGACTTTGGTGAAAAAAAGCTTGTACTTGACCATGAAATTTTGTTTGTTCAACATCCACAAAACTGAACTCAATTCATATGCGTAAAAAAAATTAATTCAGCCATACAATGACAACAGGAAGTAAGCTGGGGTGACAGTTCTACCAATCCCAGGCAAAATTTAATACCACCTGAAATACTACTACAATATTCAACTAATTACACTAACTACCGTGAACATCCAAGAAAAACCGCCTAATCGTGGCCATTATCCCCCAAACCTAACCTTTTTCTTTGTTTACCGCCCTCAATTATTAACGAAAATCCACGTCGACAGCATATCCACACAACCCGTCATAAATTTTCAAACACCAGACAGGTGATCCAACTTCGCACAATAACAACCCTGAATTATGCATGAAGGTGAGCACTATACTGTCAACCGAATCGATTCCTTCAAAGTCAACATCTCCCATTATTCCATAATTATTAACTTTTATCCAATATTGACACAACAATCACGAATCACACAAATTTCAGTGATACCAACCCGCAACCACAAACATGCAAATTCGTGCGTGAAACAATACATTCAAATACAAGACATCGAAAACTCATTAATGCATTTTTAACGCTCATTACCATTCATGTTGGCACTATTTATAGACACGACTACGTGGAATATTTTTAATTGTTTAGGTGTCCATGTCGTACTTGGAGCTGTACAACGAACAAATCAGGGACCTTTTGAACCCGGCGTCTGGGTATCTGGAACTGAGGGAGGATTCCAGGGGTCGAAACATTCAAGTCGCCGGCTTACAAGAAGTGTCAACGACGTCAACCAATGAGGTAGTCAAAATTAAAAAAAAAAAAAAAACAAAAAACAAAAAGTAGTGACGTTTTTTCCAAGGTGATGCAACTGCTACAAAAAGGTAACAAAGCTCGCACCATCGAGCCCACCGCCATGAATAAAACGTCATCGCGTAGCCACGCCCTGTTGAGTGTAACTGTCAAACACACCACGCCCCTTGATAAAAACGATCGCCTTCGTCTGCGCATCAGACAAGGACGGTTGTTCATGATAGATCTAGCTGGTTCCGAACGGGCCAATAAAACCAAAAACCGTGGAAAGCGTCTCCAAGAAGGCGCCCACATCAACCGGTCGCTTCTAGCTCTAGGTAACTGCATCAACGCTCTGAGTGGTGGGGCTCGCTACGTCAACTACCGCGACTCCAAGCTGACTAGATTGCTCAAAGAAGCTTTGAGCGGTAACTGTCGTACGGTGATGATCGCACACGTGTCACCTAGTTCTGGACAGAAAGACGAGTCTAGAAATACTCTAATCTACGCCGACCGAGCCAATAACATTTCAACTAAAGCCGAACGCAACGTATTGGACGTGTCGTACCACGTGACCCAATACCAAACCGTGATCAACGAATTGCGTGACGAGATTTCAAGGTTACAGCAGAAGATGAACGAAGAGCGGCCGAGATCAGCCGACATACGACGAATGAACGCGGAAGAAAGAAGCAACGAAGTGAAGAAACTGAGGGAGCAGATCGTGGAGACGTTCAAAACGCAGATGAAGCTGAGGCGGAAACTAATGGAGATTGATTCTCATTTGTTGGGGTTGGGGATGGAGGCGGAGCGACAACACTTGATCATATCTCATTGGGAGTCGCGGAATAACAAGTTGTATAAGAACAGCGTGAACGAATCACGGGCGAGGACACAACAAACGATTAGGAGGAGGAAATTGGTGACGGCGGAGGGGTTCAGGAGCGCCGGTAACGAACAGGAGGAGGAGGAAGAGGCGGATCTTGAAGTAGAGGGCGGGGAGACGGCGGTGCAGCAAGCGTGGGGGGAACTAGCGGACATCGAACGGGAGCAAGAAAGGTGGTCGGAGCTGCGGACGCACATCGAACAAAAATTGGAGGTGTGTCGACAAAGAGGCGTGGCGTTGGAAGACGTAAGTGATTGGTTGTTTTATTTTGAGTTGTAGTCACGTGTGTGTAGAAACTCCCGTCGCTGCTGTCGTCCGACGACGAGCGCGAGATTCTCGCCCTTATGTGTCGCGTGCACGAACTGGAAGCCGACAAGATGGCGCTGCAGTCGGAGCGGTTGGTGCGTCAGCACGAACTGCGCCGAAGAGATTTGCTCATTTTGAGGTACGACAGGCAGAGGCAACTGTGCGAAGAAATAATCACCAGGCAGCGACAACTGATTGAAGGTTGGTACTAAATTGAAAATGCGGTTGGTAGCAGTGGTGTTTCAGACGGCAAAATCAAACTCCCGCCGGATTTGCAAGAGCTGTACCAGTTCTACCAACAGGAGATTCACGCGTCTACTTATGCCGATTTGACGCCGACCAGCGACAAGTTACCCCCGATTAGTAAAATGTATAGGGTAAGTTTTGTGTCGATTTTTGCTCAGTTGGTAGTAGTTACAGTGACCCGATTTTCCGACGTACGGCCACGGAGAGCGGGAGCGACGCGAGTGGACCTTCACCTCCGTCGTCAGCCGATTCGGACGACATTCCGGCGTTACCAACCCTGAACGACGAAAGTATCGATAGGGTGATGGGTCACATTGTTACAAGACCAGGGGCTCCAATGAAGCTTCCGCCTTTACCGCCGAGTCCTCCGCTCAGGCTACCCAGAACCTCGACGTAAGAACGTATCCCAAATTAGAATTTAAACGTCTAAGTTGGGTTTCAGGAGTCAAAATCTGCGGCGGGCCCTCAGCGAGGACAGGATAGGTGATGGAATTTGAAGACGCACACTTTTAAGAAAATTTATTTTTATTGTATCTTTGGTAGTTTAAATAAATCATGTTCTATAAAAGAATAAATAAATACGACGCGGTAGGTTTGAAATTGGCGCCAAAACGTGACGTCAGCGCCATTATTTCCCTACTCGTACGAGAATCAAAGTACGCTACGACTAGAAACGACAACTTCACACTACATACACAAACGACCAATAGAAAATGTTGAAAATGATGAAACTAAGCGGGAAGACGATTCGCGACTTTTTGTCGATCCACATGGCGACTTCGTGCGGTGTCATGGTCGTCCATCTTTGGGGTTCGGGGGAATTACTCTCGGGGGGCATCTTAATCGAAGTGTCGTCTTTTTCGATCAAGTCGTCCTGGCTTTGGGTCGTGATTGTGGGTACTTTCAAACTACTTGGAAAACTCTACAAAGCAAAAATTACTAAATGGAGACGACGTTTCGTCAGACGTACGTGCACCGTCAAGTAGTTGGCTTGCGAGTTCTTGCTCACACTATCGGTTTCCTCTAGACTGGAGCACGACCGAGCCTTGTAGAGTCCGGTGTCGGATTCTTTTCTCAGAGACTTTCGCGCCAGATTTGGAGAGATGGCGCCTTTGAGAATATGTTTGCTGCTTTTTTTCTTCACTTGGACTTCTTTCTGGCGCCGCCAGATGACGTTAACGAAGGCGAACTCGGCCAAAGAGCAGAAAATGAAGACGGCACAAGCGAGGAACCAGATTTCGCTAGCCTTGATGTAGGAGACCTTGGGTAGGTTTTTGGTGAGGCCGCCGTTGAGGGTGATGAAGGCCAACATGGTGGCGGTTCCGAGGGTGACCCGTGGGGGCGCCGCGTCGGCTTGGAGCCAAAAGGTCACCCAGGAGATAATCACGAGGAGGATGGACGGCAGGAAGTAGTCCATGATGTAGAAACCGACCTCGCGGGTTAGTTTGAACCGGAAGATAAGTTGAGAGAAGTTGCCAACTATAAACAAACAAAAATATATTAATTGAGGTTATGACTCGTAGGGGAAAAGTGCCTAAAATGATCCCCTCAGGTCAAATGATCCCCATCAATTGTAAGAAAATTTGTGGCTCCATCTACCAAACATAACTGTCATTTGATTAAGCGCTCTGTAATTAGTAGCTTCTGAAAGTTTGATGGCGTTCTGTGTATTCTGCACAGTTTTGTGCCAAAATATGTAAAATAAGCACCTCTGATCTAAGGTAAGATATATTTTAAAAGTCCATTACTTCCATTTGAAAGGTCTTATAGCGGTGGTAGTTGTTTTGACAGAATTAGATACATTTCAGTCGTAGGTTAGTTATGATCTTTTTACCGCATGTAAAAATTGAAGGTTAGTTTACAATTTTTGAATGCGGATATGCTACCTAAGAAAATATCGATTTTATAATTAGGCTCCGCCCCATAATTGCAAAATCCATATTTCCTTGCAAAATTGTACCCTTTTAACCATGTTTTAAGTTTCTTGTTGTGAAAAGATGGCTACGTATATTAAGAAAAAAAGGCAAAATATAAGCCCCGCCCACCCTCCCGGTCTCAATTCTGATGATTTTTTTATTCATAGTGAGCCAAGAGGGCGGAACCTAACTGCAAATTCCTTATTTCTCTACGAGGAATGAAAAACATGTTTTTGAGTATCGTGTTGTTCAAAGAATACAATGCATGTATATTAAGAAAAATTAAAGCCAAAGATTAAGCCCCACCCATATCTGCCCTAATCTAAATAAGTATGTCGTAATCAAGTTTTCATTCGTTACTAGAGCTAGGGGCGGAGCCTAATTGCAAAATTCACGTTTCCCGACAAAAATTCACCATTTTAAACGCGTGTTAAGTTTCTAAGAATAAAAAAATCATCACAATAGACATAGGGTGGGTGGGCGGGCTTTATACTTTGCCTTTATTTTTTCTTAATATGCATAATATTATTTGACTAACACGATACTCAAAACATGTTTTTAATTTCTTGTAAAGAAAAAAATATTTGGCAGTTAAGCTTCACCCCCCTGGTTCGAGGCGAATAAAAAAAATCATCACAATTGAGATAGGGTGGGTGGGTGGGCTTACATTTTGCCTTTTTATGTTAATATGTGTAGACTTCTTTTCACAACATGAAAATTAAAATATGTTTAAAATGGAAAATTTGTATAAGGAAACATCGATTTTGCAATAGGCTCCGCCCCTTAATTGCAAAATCCATATTTCCTTGCAAACTTCTACCATTTTAACCATGTTTTAAGTTACTTGTTGTGAAAAGATGGCTACGTATATTAAGAAAAAAAGGCAAAATATAAGCCCCGCCCACCCACCCGGTCTCAATTCTGATGATTTTTTTATTCATAGTGAGCCAAGAGGGCGGAGCCTAACTGCAAATTCCTTATTTCTCTACGAGGAATTAAAAACATGTTTTTGAGTATCGTGTTGTTCAAAGAATACAATGCATGTATATTAAGAAAAATGAAAGCCAAAGATTAAGCCCCACCCATACCTGCTCTAATCTAAATAAGTATGTCGTAATCAAGTTTTCATTCGTTACTAGAGCTAGGGGCGGAGCCTAATTGCAAAATTCACGTTTCCCGACAAAAATTCACCATTTTAAACGTGTGTTAAGTTTCTAAGAATAAAAAAATCTTCACAATTGAGATAGGGTGGGTGGGCGGGCTTTATATTTTGCCTTTTTTTTCGTCATATGCATAATATTATTTGACTAACACGATACTCAAAACATGTTTTTAATTTATTGTAGAGAAAAAAATATTTGGCAGTTAAGCTTCACCCCTCTGGTTCGAGGCGAATAAAAAAAATCATCACAATTGAGATAGGGTGGGTGGGCGGGCTGACATTTTGCCTTTTTGCTTGAGTATGTGTAGACTTCTTTTCACAACATGAAACTTAAAACATGTTTAAAATGAGAAATTTATATAAAGAAATATCGATTTTGCAATTTGGCTTCGCATTTTAATCATGTTTTAAGTTTCTTGTTGTGAAAAGATGGCTGCGTACATTAAGAAAAAGAAGGCAAAGTATAATGATCCCTTTTTCTTGAGGCAAAATAATCCCGGATCATTGGGCGGGGCTAGTACCTGCTAAGATAAGACTGATTTTTGCAAATCATATACCCTCTAAGAAAAGAGAGGGTGGGTGGGCGGGGCTAGTACCTGCTAAGATAAGACTGATTTTTGCAAATCATATACCCTCTAAGAAAAGAGAGGGTGGGTGGGCGGGGCTAGTACCTGTTAAGATAAGACTGATTTTTGCAGATAACATATCCTCTAACCCCGCCCACCTACTCTTTATTTTCTTTGAGGGAATACCATTTGCCAATATCAGTTTTATCTTAGCAAGTACTAACCCCAGCCACCCGCCCGTTATTTTCTTAGAATGTATGTTATTTGCCAATATCAGCCTTATCTTGCCAAGCACTAGCTCGGCCCATCCGCCCTTTATCTTGTTAGAGGGCTAGTACCTAATAAGATAAGACTGATTTTCGCAAATGACATATCCTCCAAGAAAAGAGAGGGTGGGTGGGCGGGGCTACTACCTGCTAAGATAAGACTGATTTTTGCAGATGACATCCTCTAACCCCGCCCACCCACCCTTTAGTTTCTTCGAGGGAATACCATTTGCCAATACCAGTTTTATCTTAGCAGTTACTAGCCCCACCCACCTACTACCTGCTAAAATAAAACTGATTTTCGCAAATGAAATACCCTCTAAGAGAGGAGAGGGAGGGTGGGTGGAGCTAGTACCTCTTAAGACGGGGAAATTTAAATAATTTAAAAGAATTTTAGGGATTTTCGTGTTCTATTTTTGGAAAATTCTCAGTCTTAAGAGGTACTAATCCCAGTCACCCGCCGTCACTTTTCTTAAAGGGTATCTCATTTGCCAAAATCAGTTTTATATTAGCAAGTATTAGCCCCACCCACCCACCCTCTCTTTTCTTAGAGGGTATATCATTTGCCAAATTCAGTTTTATCTTAGCAGTTAGTAGACCCGCCCACCCGCCCTCTCTTTTCTTAAAGGCTATATCATTTGCCAAATTCAGTCTTATCTTAGCACTTACTAACCCCACCCACCCACCAACTTTTTTCTTAGAGTGTATGTCATTTGCCAAATTCAGTTTTATCTTAGTAGTTACTAGCCCCACCCACCCACCCTCTCTTTGCTTAGAAGGTATATCATTTGCCAAATTCAGTCTTATCCTAGCAGTTACTAGCCCCACCCACCCACCCTCTCTTTTCTTAGAGGGTATATCATTTGCCAAATTCAGTTTTATCTTAGCAGGTAGTAGGCCCGCCCACCCGCCCTCTCTTTTCTTGGAGGGTATCCCCTTTGGCAAAATTAGTCTTAGCACGTACTGATGACTAAGTATTGTCTCAAACTCCTCCAGAAATTATACACCCCGTATTTTCGGTGCTTTTCAAACTTTTTTTGTTTATTTTTTTTTAAGAATTTATTTTTTTGTTAATTTTTGAAATAAAATATTTATCAGTTATGTCATGATTTGATGTTTCTTGTTGATGCTGTCCCCTTATGGTCAAAATTCAAAGGGATCATTATGCCCATGCCGAGGGATCATTTTACCTATGGGGATGCCTAAAATGATCCTTTTGTAAGGTCTTGGAAAAACGTTAATAACTTTTTTTATAATTATCGAATCACCAATTGGCTTATACTGTTACCTAGATAAATCAATGTTCTTACAAATAATGCTACAGTTTTACATGAATAATAATAATTTGTATTTTTTAAAGAATTTCTCCCTTAGGGGGATCATTTTAGGCACTTTTCCCCTACTTCGGAAAAATAAAAGTTACCGAAAGCCCCTTTGGTGAAGGAGGCAGGCACCTCACTCTCTTCCGCCCAAGTGTCAGTGAGTATAAATTCAGTCAGATGTAGATTGTTAGCAAGCTTGACTGAGTGCTCCGGGACCCACAGAAGTACCAAATTCGTGGAATTGTAAGTCCCTAAAATCACCTTAATTACACCTCAACGTTACAAAACCGACTAAACCTACAGCTATTCCATTTCAAGTTGCACTCCTGTGAGTCAAACGGGAACTTCTGGAGGTTCATCCAACAGTAAAAAGTCGCAGTTAGCCGGTATGAGTACACCACGTCTCCCTTCGGACCTATCGAAATAAACACATCCTTCCCGTCAATACCCATAATGGTAGTGTCCTTCTCGTTCCCTATGTTGATATGCGGCACCCAGATTTTGTTCCTTAGAAGCTCCTCCCCCAGCAGACTTTCTCTATGAGGGGATAGAACCTCGTAAGCCAATCGGTGGTCTCTATACAAATATTGTACCAACATATGGGCTTTAAATTGCAACTGGTCAGCCGATTCTATGTGCGTCAGATCAATCTGCATGTGGACTTGGAGGGGCTTGGTGGTGGGGGGTTTGATCAGTTTGTCGTAGCGGCAGGCATCTGTCAGTTGGGCGGTAAATTGCTCCTGGGTTAGGGAGTCGAGGTTGGGCTCGAGGGGCGGGCACTGGGCGTGTTTTACGAGCGGAGGGGGCGTGGCGGTGGTGGACGCAGGAAGAGGGTTTCGGCCGTAGGCCTCTGGAACTGGGAGAGCGAAAGAAGGCGGGGGCGTGGCTGTGCTCGACGGGGGCGGAGTCGTTGAATCATCTCTGCAAAACGCAACACGTGTGAGTCTGCTATTTTAGGAACGTTGTTGTGTATATTTTTGTAAATCATAGTGACAAGGGTATGTTTACTTGATAAATAACACTTTCTCGGTTTTTAAATTAAAAATTAAAAATTAAGGACGGGTTTTTACTTCCTTTTTGTGTTTTGGGTTTTAGGTAATGGGGTTTTTGGACTGACTCGTGTTACTTGATTTTGAAAATATTTCAAATTGTAGTATTGGAGTAGTATAGGTGTGAAATCTTGTCTACTTACTCGAGTTTCTGCGAATTCGCTATTCCGTTCAAACAAATTCCAATTAAGAACAATTTGGTCGCACTTTTCACCATTTTCCAATCACATCTCAGACACAAAAGCACAAACTAAAATGCTCCAAGGTTATTCGGTCTCTTATACCCTGTTATCAGACCACAAAAACAACATAAAATATGTACATTACATTATTATATTAAACTTGTTCAATGTTGACTTCGTAAATGAGTTTGCAATTATGGTTTTTGAGTGCCAAAGTGTAGATCGATTACCAACATTGCCACAACAAATAAACCATTTTTGGTTACCTCTTGGTATTTATTTTCGTCGGTGCACGTCACGTGGGTGTTGTATTTTCGTTTTTCCTGATTCATAACGTTGGAAAATTTGTTTGCCTTAAATTATCTACTAATATTGGAGGTCTCGATTTCGAGGTGCTCCAATATTAGCAAATTTGAATGCAAAGATCGTGTAAATATTTGTTTGTTTAAATAGTAGCGAGATTTGAATTTGGCGCGCTTTAGTAACATCTGTTTGGTGCCACCCGGATAAGTTTTATTCATCAGGGGTTTACGTCAAGCGTATGTGCAAACAAAAAAAATAAACATCAACGACACACGTGTTTTGTGTAAACAAATTTATCAAACCTTGCGTAATCAACTTTACTATAGTTGATTTATAAACAAAATTTATGGTTACTTTTCTTCCGCCAGTTGGCTAAAAAAAAACACCCTTATCCAACCTTACTTTATTCTTACATTCGATGAAAAATGGCCACTCAACCATGAGCAATAAATAAAAATGACAAGACGAGTCCAAGACTAGAACAGCAAATTAACAAAAACCAGCGCGTAATTCTCGTACTCCTATAAAACGTACACAAAAGTCCAGTAAAAAATATTGAAAATAACGAAACTAATCGGAAATATATTTTTTGCATTTTTTTTTTTTTTTCTTAATACACATAGTTTTCTCTTCACAAGAAAAGATTGAAAACATGTTTAAAATGGTAAATTTTATCCCACACTTCTCTACAAATTTATCATTTTAAACATTTTTTCAGTTTCTTGTCGTAAAAAGAAAACTAAATACATTTATTAAGAAAACAGGCAAAATACAAACCCCGCCCACCCGCCCTCATCTCATTTGTGATAAATTTTTATTCGTCGTCATCCGAGGGGCGGAGCTTAATTGCAAAATGCTTATTTCTCGAAGGAATCTACCATGTGAAACATGTTTTCAAGATCACGTTGTTGAAAGAAAACTATACGTCAAGAAAAAAAGTCAAAAAATAAGCCACACCCTCAAATGTGATGAATTTTTCATTCGTTGATAGAGCGAGGGGCAGAGCTTAACTGTAAAATCAATATTTCCCGACAAAAATTTACCATTTTCAGTATTCGTCACAATTGAGATAGGGTGGGTGGGCGGGGCTTATTTTTTGCATTTTTTTTCTTAATACACATAGTTTTCTCTTCATAAGATGCGACTACAAACATGTTTAAAATGGTAAATTTTATCCCCCACAATTCTCTACAAATTTATCATTTTGAACATTTTTTCAGTTCTTTGTCGTAAAAAGAAAACCAAGTATATATATTAAGAAAAAAAAGCAATACACTAACCCCGCCCACCCGCCGTCATCTCAATCGTGATGATTTTTTTAATTCGTCGTGAGCCGAGGGGCGGAGCTTAATTGCAAAATGCTTACTTCTCTTCAAGAATGTACCATGTGAATCATATTTTTAAGTATTATGTTATTATATAAAACTATATACCTACCTATGTGAAAAAAAATCAAAAAATAAGCCCCATCTAGGCAAAGTTTAAATGTAAAATCGATGTTTCTGGACAAAAATTTCATGTTTTAAATATCTTGTCGTCAAAAGAAGATTACGCATATTTGAAAAAAAACAGGCAAAATTTAAGTCCCGCCCACCCACCCGCACCTCAATTGTAATGATTTTTTTATTCGTCGTGAGCCGAGGGGCGGAGCTTAATTGCAAAATCCTTATTTCTCTCCACGAAAGTACCATCTGAAACATGTTTTTTGATGTTGTTGAAATAAACCTGTTTTTCAGTGTTTCTAATATTTTATAATTTTTCGTTAATTCTATTTTTCAGATTTTCAATCTTTGATTTATCTTGGTATATGATTTTCCAAGTTTTAAATTTTTCATTTTTGCACTTTTTCGATTTTCCAACTTTTAGTTTCTTCAGTTTTTCAAAATCTTGATTTCCAATTTGAGAGTTTCCAAATTTTTCATTTTATGCTTCGTTTTTTTCTTTTTTGATTTTTCGATCAAATTTTTCCATTTTTTTATTCGGAAAATTGAAAATTTTCAAAAATGAAAAATGAAAAAGAAATCAAAAACTAATTTAGAAGCTGAAAATCAAAGAAGAAACAAAAATTAAAACTAAAACTCGACAAACTGAAAAATCTAAAATTGAAAATAACGAAACTAATCGGAAATATATTTTTTGCATTTTTTTTTTTTCTTAATACACATAGTTTTCTCTTCACAAGAAAAGATTGAAAACATGTTTAAAAGGGTAAATTTTATCACACACTTCTCTACAAATTTATCATTTTAAACATTTTTTTAGTTTCTTGTCGTAAAAAGAAAACGAAGTACATATATTAAGAAAAAAGGCTAAATACAAAGCCCGCCCGCCCGCCCTCATCTCAATTGTGATGATTTTTTTTATTCGTTGTAAGCCGAGGGGCGGAGCTTAATTGAAAAAAATGCTTTTTTCTCGACAAGAATCTACCATGTGAAACATATTTTGAAGTATTATGTTGTTGAAAGAAAACTATTATGTAAAAAAAATGAGCCCCACCCACCCGCCCCAATCTCAAATGTGATGGATTTTCCATTCATTGTCAAGAGCGAGGGGCGGAACTTAATTGTAAAATCAATATTTCCAAACAAAAATTTACCATTTTCAATGTTTTAAATATCTTGTGAAAAGAAGATTAAGTATCTACAGAAAAAAAAAATGGTAAACTTAAGCCCCGCCCATCTTGGCTCACGACGAATAAGGAAAAATCGTCACAATCGAGGTAGGGTGGGTGGGTAAGGCTTATGTTTTTCATTTTCTTTTTTCTTAATACACATAGTTTTCTCTCCACAAGAAAAGATTGAAAACATGTTTAAAAGGGTAAATTTTATCCCACACTTCTCTACAAATTTATCATTTTAAACATTTTTTCAGTTTCTTGTCGTAAAAAGAAAACTAAATACATTTATTAAGAAAACAGGCAAAATACAAACCCCGCCCACCCGCCCTCATCTCATTTGTGATAAATTTTTATTCGTCGTCATCCGAGGGGCGGAGCTTAATTGCAAAATGCTTATTTCTCGAAGGAATCTACCATGTGAAACATATTTTCAAGATCATGTTGTTGAAAGAAAACTATAAAAAGAAAAAAAAGTCAAAAAATAAGCCACACCCTCAAATGTGATGAATTTTTCATTCGTTGATAGAAAGAGGGGCAGAACTTAACTGTAAAATCAATATTTCCCGACAAAAATTTACCATTTTCAGTATTCGTCACAATTGAGATAGGGTGGGTGGGTGGGGCTTATTTTTTGCATTTTTTTTCTTAATACACATAGTTTTCTCTTCACAAGATGCGACTACAACCATGTTTAAAATGGTAAATTTCATCCCCCACAATTCTCTACAAATTTATCAGTTTGAACATTTTTTCAGTTCTTTGTCGTAAAAAGAAAACCAAGTATATATATTAAGAAAAAAAAGCAATACACAAACCCCGCCCACCCGCCGTCATCTTAGTCGTGATGATTTTTTTAATTCGTCGTGAGCCGAGAGGCGGAGCTTAATTGCAAAATGCTTACTTCTCTTCAAGAATATACCATGTGAATCATATTTTTAAGTATTATGTTATTATATAAAACTATATACCGATGTTGAAAAAAAATCAAAAAATAAGCCCCATCTAGGCAAAGTTTAAATGTAAAATCGATGTTTCTGGATAAAAATTTCATGTTTTAAATATCTTGTCGACAAAAGAAGATTACGCATAGTTGAAAAAAAAACAGGCAAAATTTAAGTCCCGCCCACCCACCCCCACCTCAATTGTAATTATTTTTTTATTCGTCGTTAGCCGAGGGGCGGAGCTTAATTGCAAAATCCTTATTTCTCTCCACGAAAGTACCATCTGAAACATGTTTTTTGATGTTGTTGAAATAAACCTGTATTTCAGTGTTTCTAATATTTTATAATTTTTCGTTAATTCTATTTTTCAGATTTTCAATCTTTGATTTATCTTGGTATATAATCAACTTTACTATAGTTGATTTATAAACAAAATTTATGGTTACTTTTCTTCCGCCAGTTGGCTAAAAAAAAACACCCTTATCCAACCTTACTTTATTCTTACATTCGATGAAAAATGGCCACTCAACCATGAGCAATAAATAAAAATGACAAGACGAGTCCAAGACTAGAACAGCAAATTAACAAAAACCAGCGCGTAATTCTCGTACTCCTATAAAACGTACACAAAAGTCCAATAAAAAATGTTGAAAATAACGAAACTAATCGGAAACACGATCCGCGACTTCTTGTCGATCCAGTTGGCCACTTCCTGCGGCGTCATCGTGTGCCACTTCTGTGGCGCCTGAACGTTATTATTTTCGGGCACGGGAATGGTGGTAACACTGTCTTCGCGATCGATCAAGTCGTCGTCGCTCTGTGTCGTAATCACCGGCACCTTCAAGTTCGTCGGGAAACTCTAAAAACAACACACTATATGACAATTCAAGGTCAAAGTCACACTTACATGAACCGTCAGATAGTTCTGGTTCTCTTTGTTGCTACCGTCGTCGCTCCCGTTCAAACTCGAACACGACCTCGTCTTGTGCAAACTGTTGATGGACTCGGCTTTACGGAGTTGTTTTCGGGCTAGACTTGGAGTCAAGGCGCCTTTGAGGATGTGCTTACCGCTGTGTTTCTTCAGCTCGACTTTTTTTCTACAAAGAAAAAGTGTTAGGTTGGTAGCAGTGGAACGAAGTTACTTACTTGCGCCGCCAGATGACGTTGACGAAGGCGAACTCCGCCATTGACAAGAAAATGAAGCACGCACAGGCTAAGAACCAGATTTCGCTAGCTTTGATGTAGGAGACCTTGGGGAGGTTTTTGTTGACGCCGCCGTTGAGGGTGATGAAGGCTAACATAGTGGACGTGCCTAGGGTGACTCTGGGGGCGGATGCATCCGCTTGCAACCAAAAAGTCACCCAGGAGGTGCACACTAAAAGAATAGACGGAAGAAAATAGTCCATGATGTAGTAGCCCACTTCGCGCGAAAGTTTGAACTTGAAAACCAGCTCGCTGAAGTTGCCAACTGAAAAATTTTAGTGAGTTTGGTGATGAAGGGTTATGCGATAGTACCGAAAGCTCCTTTAGTAAATGAGGCAGGAACTGTGCGTTCTTCGGTTGACCTATCGCTGATAACGAACTCAGTTAAATGGAGATTACTGGCGACTTTCACCGGGGTGTCTTCGTCCCAGTGCAGCCGCAGGTTGGTAGTATTATAAGTCCCTAGAAAAGTTACTATTAATTTAGACTACCGTACTACCAACTTACAACATACAACTATTCCACCTCAAGAAACAATCCTGTGAATCAAACGGGAATTTGTGTAGGTCCATCCAACAATAAAAAGTCGCCGTTAATCTATACGAGTACACCACGTCTCCACTGGGACTAATCGACACAAACACATCCTTCCCATCTATCCCCATTATCTTAGTATCCCGTTCATTCCGTACCATGATATGCGGCACCCATATCTTCGTCCTTAACAACTCCTCACCCACCAGACTCCCCCGATTGGGTAACACATGCGAGTACTTCAGTCTCCTGTCTTTATACAAGTACTGTACCAACATATGGGCTTTAAATTGCAACTGCTCAGCAGACTCTATATGTGTCAAATCTATCTGCATATGCACCGGAAGGGGTTTTCCTGCTTCAGTTGGCGGCCTGCTCAACTTGTCATAATTACAAGCGTGTGTCAACACAGACGTTAATTGGTCTTGGGTCCAAGAACTCATATTGGGGTTGAGAATGGGGCAGTCGTTGTTTATAGGGGTTTTCGTAGCCGGAGGCAGTGTGGTGGTAGTAACAGTAGCGTCGCTCAAGGTCGTCTGTGTTGACGTTTCGTAAAGTGGGGTTATGGTGGTGTTGAAAATTGGCGCCGAGTCGTCGACGGAGTTGGTGGTGATGAGGTCGGTCTCGTTTATAGTGAGGCTTTCGGCTGGGGTGAGTTGCGGCGAGGGGGCGGGCTTGGGCGGGGGCGGCGTGGAGGTGGAGTTTGAAAAACTGAAAAAGTACAACAAATAGTGTAGTGTTCGCACGACAGGTGGCACTCAATGCAACGTTCGCGACTATAACAGAGTGATAAAAACTAGATTGATTTATTGCCTCGTACTAAGCGCGATATTTTTATTGTTTTTAAAGTTTCAATAATTCGATTACGGGCTTAACGACTTATGATTTGATTTGTTGCAATTAAAAAAAGTTTCCGCGTCACGCAATGACATTTCAATGCATTATATGGATTAAGGTGGATTTTGTTTTTCGGGTTTATAGTGCAAGTGTCATTCAATTTTTTCAAATTAGCTATCTTCGATTCGTTTGTTTCTCAAGCGGAAAATAATAAAAAGTCGGCTGCGCTGTTGGATTTAGGACAATAAAATCGAAATCTAAGCTAAATATGGTCGCGGATTATAAAATGTTTACATATATACAAGTGTATATGGCTTTGTACTTGACCTAATATTTCTTCAGTGTTACCAACCTGCGCTGGTGTGCCCAATTGACTGTATTATATTGACTTTAAAAAAATAGAACGCCGGTGGAATAGTTTTGATTTATTTTAATAAAATCTACATATCTGTGTTTCAAAGGTGTAAAATTAATTTGAATGGGTTTCTAACACGCTATTTTATACCCAAATAACGTAAACAAGTATGAGAAGCAATTTTATGTTGTATTTCTAAAAAATGGAAAGTTTTTAAATTAATAATAAATATTCAGTGATGACGTTGGCTTATCAGAAGTTGTTTTATATATAGTTTTCCAAAAAAACGATATATTAATGATTGATTGATTGATGGATTGATTGATTTGGTGTGTGGGAATTTTTCATTACGTCACCAACACATATACTTTTCAAGTGTAAGTACCGGGTGTCTGGAAAATGGCGGACTAACAATCAACTAGCGAAGGTAGAAATCAACAAAAATCGAGTAAGCAGTTAAAAATGTTTGACGTATCAAAAACTGTCAAAGTTTTCAAAACCCTACGTTTAAAATGTTCGCAGTTAATTTTACGTCTCTGTGACCCGGTTTATAGAAAACAAATTAAATATGTAATCCTAGATTAATTGACAGAGTATTAAAATGTAGAAGATAAGACTAATTTTGGCAAATGACATACCCTCTAAGAAAATAAAGGGTGGGTGGGCGGGGCTAGTATTTGATAAGGAAAGGCTGATTTTCGACTTCGTTTCTTCCGAAATTCCCACCGTTTTTCCAAAATCGCTCGGTATAAAAATTTCGTAGATAAAAAGGGAAATTGTTATTAATTTTTGTTTAATAAAATACAATTGTTTAAAGAATGTACTTTGTATATTTTGCCTTTTTTTTCTTAGTATACATTTTTTCACAACAAGGAACTTAAAATATGGTTAAAATGGTACACTTTTGTTTTAAGTTTCTTGTTGTGAAAAAAATCTACACATATTAAAACAAAGAGTCAAAAAGTAAGCCCGCCCACCCGCCCTATCTCAATTGTGATGATTTTTTTTATTCGCCGTGAACCACGGAGACGAAGCTTAACTGCAAAATACTTTTCTTTACGAGAAGTTAAAAACAACTTTTGAGTATCCTATTGTTCAAAGAATACCATGTATATTAAGAAAAAAGGTAAAACTATAAACCCCGCCCGCCCACCCACCCCATCTCAATTGTGATGACCTTTTTAATGCTTAGAACCTTAAAATACGTTTAAAATATTAAATGTTTGGCTTTAATTTTTTTTTTAATTTACATACTCAAAAACATGTCTTACATTGTAATTTCTTGTAGAGAAATAATAAGATTTTGCAATTAAATTCCGCTCGTTTGGCTCTCGACCATAAAAAAATTACAATTGAGATACTGCGGGTGGGCGGGGCTTAAATTTTGTCTTTCATCTTAATATACATAGTCGTCTTTTCAGAACAATAAACTTGAAACATGTTTGAAATGGTAAATTCGTGTAGACAAATGTGGATCTTTCAATTAAGCCCCGCCCCTCGATCTGACAACGAATGAGAAATTCATTAATTCATGGGTGGGCGGAGCTAATATTTACTAAGATATGACTGATTTTGGCAAATGACGTACCTTCCAAGAAAATGGGAGGGCGAGTGGGCGGGGCTAGCATTTTATTGTGGAACGACGAAAAAACATAAAATGAGAACTTCGAGAAACCTAAAATATCCGAAAATCCAAAAAAAAAGAAAGACCGAAGAAATCCAAAAAAATCCAAGAACTCGGGGGATCCAATAATTTAAAAAATCCAAAAAGGAAAAAAACAAAAAATATGAAAAATACGAAAAATCCTGCAAATCCCAAAAATCCGAAGAATCTGAGTAATTGAAGAATCTGTTTCCTCAGATATAAAAGATAAATACGATAAATCCGAAAAATTTAAAAAACATTGTAAATCCAAAAAAACCGAAGGAATCCAAAAAACCCAAGAACTGGATGAATCCAATAATTTGGATTCCAAAAAAATGCAAAGAAATCCACATAATTCAAAACAATCCTAAAACATCGAAAAAACCTGAAAATTGCCAAAAATCCGAAAAATTGTAAAACTGAAAAATCAAAAATGAAACAACGAAAAAATATAAAATGAGAACTTTGAAAAATCTAAATTCCAAAGTATCTAAAAAAAATAAAAAAATCCGAAAAATCTAAAAAATTCAAAAAAAAAACAAAAATCGAACAAATCCAAAAACCCAAGAACTCGAGAAATCCAGCAATTTGAACTCCAAAAAAAATCCAATTATTAAAAAAATCCAAAAAGGAAAAAAACCAAAAAGATGAAAAATTCGAAGAATCTGAAAAATCCGATAAAAACGAGAAATCCAAAAAACCACAGAAATACAAAAAACCCAGAAACTCAAGAGATCCAGTAATGCGAAAAACCAAAAAAAAAAAACAAAGAAATCCAAAAACACCAGAAAATCCAAAAAAACCGAAGAAATCCAAAAAACCCAAGAACTTGAGGAATCCAATAATTTGGAACCCAAAAAAATCCAAAGAAATCCACATTATTAAAAAAAAAATCCCAAAAATCCAAAAAAACTGAAAGTTACAAAAAAGCTGAAAAGTTGTAATACTGAAACACCAAAAATGAAAGAACAAAAAATTTATAATGAAAACTAAAAAAACTAAAATATCCAAAAAATAAAAAAAATCCGAAAAATAAAAAAAATCCGTAACATCCAAAAAATCCAGATAATCCAAAAAAATCTAAAATAAATGAAATATCCGAAAACCTCCAAAAAAAAAACAAAAATCGAAGAAATCCAAAAGAACCAAGAACTCGAGGGATCCAATAATTAAAAAAATCAAAAAAAGAAAAAACAAAAAATATGAAAAATTCGAAAAGTCCTGCAAATCCGAAAAAAACGAAGTCTGAAAAATCCGAAGAATTTGACTAATCGAAAAATCTGAAGAAACGGTAGAGTCCGATAAATACGATAAATTCGAAAAATTAAAAAAAAAAGATTGTGAATCCAAAAAACCGAAGAAATAAAAAAAAATGCAAAAAAATCCACATAATTCAAAACAATCCTAAAACATCCAAAAAACCTGAAAATTCCCAAAAATCCGAAAAATTGTAAAACTGAAAAATAAAAAATGAAATTACGAAAAAATATAAAATAGAACTTTGAAAAATCTGCATTACAAAACATCTAAAAAATCAAAAAATCCGAAAAATCTAAAAAATCCAAAAAAGAACAAAAATCGAAGAGCTCAAAAAACCCAAGAACTCGAGGAATCCAGCAATTTGAGCTCCAAAAAAATCCACGTAATTAAAAAAATCCAAAAAGGAAAAAACAAAAAGATGAAAAAGCCGAAAAATCTGAAAATCCGATAAAAACGAAAAACTTAAAAAATCCAAAAAACCACATAAATACAAAAACCCCAGAAACTCAAGAGATCCAATAATGCGAAAAACCAAAAAAAAAAACAAAGGAATCCAAAAAACCCAAGAACTTGAGGAATCCAATAATTTGGAACACAAAAAAATCCATAGAAATCCACATAATTAAAAAAAAATCCCAAAATATCCAAAAAACTAAAAGTTACAAAAAATCCGAAAAACTGCAAAACAAACATCAAAAATGAAAGAACGAAAAAATATAAAATGAAAACTTTGAAAAATCTAAATTCCAAAATATCATAAAAAAATTCAAAAAATCCGAAAAATCTAAAAAATCCAAAAAATCCGAAAGTCCAAACAAAAAACAAAAACCGAAGAAATCCAAAAAACCCAAAAACTCGAGGAATCCAACACTTTGAACTCCAAAAAAATCCACTTAATTAAAAAAATCCGAAAAGGAAAAAAACAAAAAAGATGAAAAATCCGAAGAATCTGAAAAATCCGATAAAAACGAAAAATCCAAAAAATCCAAAAACCCTAGAAACTCAAGAGATCCAGTAATGCGAAAAACCAAAAAAAAAACAAACAAAGCAATAAAAAAAATACCAGAAAATCAAAAAAAAACTGAAAGTTACAAAAAATCCGAAAAATTGTAAAACTGAAACATCAAAAATGAAAGAACGAAAAAATATAAAATGAAAACTTTGAAAAATCTAAATTCCAAAATATCATAAAAAAATTTAAAAAATCCGAAAAATCTAAAAATCCAAAAAATCCGAAAGTCCAAACAAAAAAACAAAAACCGAAGACATCCAAAAAACCCAAAAACTCGAGGAATCCAACACTTTGAACTCCAAAAAAATCCACTTGATTAAAAAAATCCGAAAAGGAAAAAAACAAAAAAGATGAAAAATCCGAAGAATCTAAAAATCCGATAAAAACGAAAAATCCAAAAAATCCAAAAATCCCAAGAACTTGAGGAATCCAATAATTTGGAACCCAAAAAAATCTAAAACAAATGAAATATCCGAAAACCCCCCCCAAAAAAAAACCGAAGAAATCCAAAAAACTCAAGAACTCGAGGAATCCAACAATTTAAACTCCAAAAAATCCATTTAATTAGTGTTTCATTTTTTACGAATTGGAAAAAGTTTTAAGTGCCGCAGTATTTTTTTTAATTCGGAGGACTCGTGAGTACCGATGGTGTATTACTGTCGGAGCCCATGGAGATATTTTTTCTGACCTGACCTGTTTTTGAGTTAATTTTGGTACTCCGTTTTTTTTTTTTTGAAAAATTTAAAACAATCTTGAGGTTCTAGGTAGTCCTGTGTGGAAAGAATATGAAAGTGCTTTGGAGCCTCTGTCTTTTCTTATAATAATTTAATTAAATTTTTTAGAAAGTATGTCATTTGCCAAAATTAGTCTTAACAGATACTAGCACCACCCACCCACCCACCCCCTCTTTTCTTAGAGGGTATCTCATTTGCCAAAATGTTTTATCGTAGCAGGGATCAGGCCCGCCCACCCACCCTCTCTTTTCTTGGAAGGTATGTCATTTGCCAAAATTACTGTTTTCTTATCAGGTACTAGCCCCGCCCACCCACCCTCTCTTTTTTTGGAAGATATGTCATTTGCCAAAATCAGTTTTATCTTAGCAAGTACTGATTATTACGTTTTTTTCGTAATCTACATCCTAAACATATATAACATACTGAAGAGTTAATCTACTATTTTCCAGACACCCGGTATACTCTGAATTCGATATGTCGTTAAACTTGTTTTTTGTTGTATGCTCACAAATATACCTACTCTGTGAAACAATATGTTTTTTATAATAGATTCAGATTTTTCTTTTTATGGTTGGTAATAAAGAACCAAAATAATGAAATAGGTTATAATTGTATATTGTATAGCTTCAGTGTCATTCATGCCAACTGTGAATCAAAATATTCTCAATACTAGGAACATTTTTAGAATATAAAATAAATTGGTAATATTTTGAATACTAGACGACCTGTTGCTATGCATTGTCTATATCCATCGATTAAATTTATGATTCCAATCTTACTTTAATCTTTTGATTATCTGGAGCAGATTAGCCCGCTTTGATACGTCGAGATTTTTTTTAAATCACGTATGCAAAACAGTTTCATTCCAGAATATTCCGGTTCGTTTTCAACACACTAATGAATACCAACTTTCGAAAAACAAAGTGACTGACGTCAGGCAGGCCAATCTAGACAAGACTCAGCAATTTTTCAGCAGAAAACACAACTTCCAGCATTTGAATATCGCGTTCTAAGTCAGCGATAACGTAATATGAATTAATTTAAAATAAAATTAAGCATCAGAAACGGTTAATAAATTCAGCTTCAGCCCTATCTAAATTCAAATGTAGGTTACATGCAAATAAAATACGAATAAATATAAAATAACGCTGCGGATAAAAACGATAAAGATAACAAAACGCTAACTAATTGCTGCTCATTGTAAAAGTGCATTTTATGGAAAAACAGCTCATATTTGTTCTGGGAAAGGAAAAAATAAAAACTTAAAATATAATGCGTGGTTTAAAAGACTAATAAATAATCGATTGTTGTTTCGACGTTTCTAGAGTGCAGTGGAAGTTTTTGGGTGAAATCTAGCATTGCTCACGGCCGCTTGGTGTAATTAAAGGCCCGTTAACATTTTTTCGCACTCGATGCATACACCCATTTTCTAAAACCGTATGTTGCTTTTAGAAAAAAAAGTGCGTGGTTTGTTACCTCTCCTGTCCACACGTACACCCGAAAATTATCATCGCCCCAACGAAAAGTCCATTCATCTTCCAGAAGCACCACTCACAAGCAACAAAACAATAAACTAAGAACACTCAAGGCTACTCAGTCTCTTATACCCCGTTATCACGGCCGATTCAAACTTCAAACTATATATTTATGCAGACCACAATCAAATGTACAATCCGCATCGTACTAACCTTACGGATTTCGTACTGGAATAATATTGACTTTAAATGAGACTTAATTGCATGCCCCCGAAACGCACGCCACTGCTGAAATTCCGTGCGACGTACGTTTATTCGAATCGGAAGTAATTAATAAAACAGAAACGTAAAAAGTGTCGCATTTTCCGTTTTTTTTTTATTTTTTGTTTTTCCATCGATTTGCCTCCGGAAATACCGCGAAAATCTGTCTGTTTGTTTCGTTGCGTCTTCTGCTTGTCCAAATATTTGGCGTGTTTGCGAGACAATATTGGGGCTGATAAGGTGCACTTTTGCCTCGCCGACTGTTTTTCTCCGTGGCGTGTTTATGTAATGGTTTTATGGTTCTGTGGGCAGTTTTGGTCTTGATTGACCATTAATCATGTTTGGTAATATCGCGGATTTGTATGCGCAACGTCACGCCGGCTATTGTTGGCGAACATCGTGTTATAATGAGAGCATTACGCAATGGTTTTGTTTTGGGTTTTTGCTTTTTGTTTGTTTTGGTGAAAAAAGTGGTTTTTGTTTTGGTAGCGCGATGAGGGGTTCACTCGAAACGGCTTCCCTAATGCAGAATTGGGTCTAGGATGTCGGTTCAAAGTCGAAGCCTTTGCTAAGTTTGACACTACGTGAGGTAATTCGCAATTTGATACACACGAGGTGACGTTTGTGGTGGTATTTGCGTGCAAAGTTGGCAATAAAAGCAGTAGTGCCGTAAAAGCGGATTTGTGTTCAAATATTTGACGGTTTGGACGTCAATGGGAGTGTTTGGCAAGGGCTTACGTCTTTGGACTTGTTGACTTGGTAGATTTTAACTTCTTTGAAAAAATAACGAGGTCATAGAGTTTCGTCCGAAGTGCAGACGGCTTTTTGGATTTTTTTCTTTTTGAGTCTGTCAGACAATTATCGCATATATGGCCACCTCGTGGGCGGAGCTAGAGGGAGAGGGCGGGGCACTTGAAGCGAATATAGCTTTCATTGGTAAGACAAACGTGTCACCACGACAATACTCGGATAATAACAACCTCGACAGTTGGGACCCCTGAGAAGGTTTTACATTAAAAAAAAAGACATTTGGGGCCCCTGAGAAGGTTTTACATAAAAAAATATCAGGTGGGGCGCCCGAGAAGGTTTTACATTTAAAAAAAGACAGTTGGTACCCCCGAGAAGGTTTCACAGGTTTCACATTCTAAAAAAAATATTTGGCGCCCCCGAGAAGGTTTTACAATTTAAAAAGAGACGGTTAGGACCCCCGAGAAGGTTTCACATTAAAATAAATACACACTTGGGGCCCCTGAGAAGGTTTCACATTAAAATAAAAAGACACTTGGGACCCCCGAGAAGGTTTCACAGGTTTCACATTCTAAAAAAAAACATTATTCGTCCCCGAGAAGGTTTTACAGTTTTAAATAAGCCAATTGGGACCCTCGAGAAGGTTTCACATTAAAATAGAAAGACACTTGGGGTCTCTGAGAAGGTTTTACATTAAAAAAAAACAGTTGGGACCCCGAGAAGGTTTTACATTTATAAAAAAGTCAATTGGAACCCCCGAAAAGGTTTCACATTCTAAAAAACATATTTGACGCCCCCGAGAAGGTTTCACATTAAAATAAAAAGACACTTGGGGCCCGTGAGAAGGTTTTACATTAAAAAAAAAGGCAGTTGGGACCCCCAAGAAGGTTTCACAGGTTTCACATTCTAAAAAAAACCATTTGGCGTCCCCGAGAAGGTTTTGCATTTTTAAATAAGCCAATTGGGAACCCCGAGAAGGTTTCACATTAAAATAAAAAGACACTTGGGGCCCCTGAGAAGGTTTTACATTTAAAAAAAGATACTTAGGACCCCTGAGAAGGTTTTACATTAAAAAAAGACACTTGGGACCCCTGAGTAGGTTTCATATTAAAATAAAAAGACACTTGGGGCCTCTGAGAAGGTTTTACAGGTTTCACATTATAAAAAAAATCATTTGGCGTCCCCGAGAAGGTTTTACATTTTTCAATAAGCCAATTGGGACGCCCGAGAGGGTTTCACATCAAAATAGAAAGACACTTAGGGCCTTTGAGAAGGTTTTACATTAAAAAAAAAGACACTTAGCACCCCTGAGAAGGTTTTACATTTAAAAAAAGACAGTTGGGACCCCCGAGAAGGTTTTACATTTTTAAAAAAGACAATAGAGACTCCTGAGAAGGTTTTACATTTAAAAAAAGACATTTGGGATCCCTGAGAAGGTTTCGTATTAAAAAAAAGACACTTGGGGCCTCTGAGAAGGTTTTACTGGTTTCACATTATAAAAAAATCATTTGGCGTCCCCGAGAAGGTTTTACATTTTTAAATAAGCCAATTGGGACCCCCGAGAGGGTTTCACATCAAAATAGAAAGACACTTAGGGCCCCTGAGAAGGTTTCACATTAAAAAAAAAGACATTTGGGGCCCCTGAGAAGGTTTTACATAAAAAAATATCAGGTGGGGCGCCCGAGAAGGTTTTACATTTAAAAAAAGACAGTTGGTACCCCCGAGAAGGTTTCACAGGTTTCACATTCTAAAAAAAATATTTAGCGCCCCCGAGAAGGTTTTACAATTTAAAAAAAGACGGTTGGGACCCCCGAGAAGGTTTCACATTAAAATAGAAAGACACTTGGGGTCTCTGAGAAGGTTTTACATTAAAAAAAACAGTTGGGACCCCGAGAAGGTTTTACATTTTTAAAAAAGTCAATTGGAACCCCCGAAAAGGTTTCACATTCTAAAAAACATATTTGACGCCCCCGAGAAGGTTTCACATTAAAATAAAAAGACACTTGGGGCCCCCGAGAAGGTTTTACATTTAAAAAAAGGCAGTTGGGACCCCCGAGAAGGTTTCACAGGTTTCACATTCTAAAAGAAATCATTAGGCGTCCCCGAGAAGGTTTTACATTTTTAAATAAGCCAATTGGGAACCCCGAGAAGGTTTCACATTAAAATAAAAAGACACTTGGCGCCCCTGAGAAGGTTTCACATTAAAATAAAAAGACACTTGGGACCCCCGAGAAGGTTTTACATTTTTAAAAAAGACAATTGAGACCCCTGAGAAGGTTTCACATTAAAATAAAAAGACACTTGGGGCCTCTGAGAAGGTTTTACAAGTTTCACATTCTAGAAAAAAACATTTGGCGTCCCCGAGAAGGTTTTACATTTTTAAATAAGCCAATTGGGACCCCCGAGAAGGTTTCACATTAAAATAAAAAGACACTTAGGGCCCCTGAGAAGGTTTTACATTTAAAAAAAGGCAGTTGGGATTGGGACCCCCGAGAAGGTTTCACACGTTTCACATTCTAAAAAAAAAAAACATTAGGCGTCCCCGAGAAGGTTTTACATTTTTAAATAAGCCAATTGGGACCCCCGAGAAGGTTTCATATTAAAATAGAAAGACACTTAGGGCCCCTGAGAAGGTTTTACATTTAAAAAAAGACACTTAGGACCCCTGAGAAGGTTTCACAGGTTTCACATTCTAAAAAAATCATTAGGCGTCCCCGAGAAGGTTTTACATTTTTAAATAAGCCAATTGGGACCCCGGAGAAGGTTTCACATTAAAATAAAAAGACACTTGGGGCCCCCGAGAAGGTTTTATATTTAAAAAAAAGCAGTTGGGACCCCCGAGAAGGTTTCACAGGTTTCACATTCTAAAAAAAATCATTAGGCGTCCCCGAGAAGGTTTTACATTTTTAAATAAGCCAATTGGGACCCCCGAGAAGGTTTCACAGGTTTCACATTCTAAAAAAATCATTAGGCGTCCCCGAGAAGGTTTTACATTTTTAAATAAGCCAATTGGGACCCCCGAGAAGGTTTCACATTAAAATAGAAAGACACTTGGGGCCCCTGAGAAGATTTTACATTTAAAAAAGACACTTAGGACCCCTGAGAAGGTTTTACATTTAAAAAAAGACACTTAGGACCCCTGAGAAGGTTTTACAGGTTTCACATTCTAAAAAAAACATTTGGCGTCCCCGAGAAGGTTTTACAATTTTAAATAAGCCAATTGGGACCGCCGAGAAGGTTTCACATCAAAATAGAAAGACACTTAGGGCCCCCGAGAAGGTTTTACATTTTTAAATAAGCCAATTGGGACCCCCGAGAAGGTTTCACATTAAAATAGAAAGACACTTGGGGCCTCTGAGAAGGTTTTACATTAAAAAAAAAAAACAGTTGGGACCCCGAGAAGGTTTTACATTTAAAAAAAAGACAATTGGGACTCCCGAGAAGGTTTTACATTTTTAAATAAGCCAATTGGGACCCCCGAGAAAGTTTCACATTAAAATAAAAAGAAACTTAGGGCCCCCGAGAAGGGTTCACATTAAAATGAAAAGATATTTGGGTCTCCCGAGAAGGTTTTTTACATTTTAAAAAGACAGTTGAGATTCCCGAGAAAGTTTCACATTAAAATAAAAAATTATTTGGCACCCCCGAGAAGGTTTCATATTAAAATAAAAAGATATTTAGATCTCCCGAGAAGGTTTAAAATGTAAAACCTTCTCGGGAGATCTAAATATCTTTTTATTTTAATATGAAACCTTCAGACAGCTGGGAGCCCCGAGAAGGTTTCACATTAAAATAAAAAAACATTTGGCGCCCCCGAGAAGGTTTTACATTTTCAAAAAAGACAGTTGGGATCCCCGAGAATGTTTCACAGGTTTCACATTCTAAAAAAAACATTTGGCGCCCCCGAGAAGGTTTTACATTTTTAAAAAAGCCAATTGGGATCCCCGAGAAGGTTTCAAATTTTTCAAAAAAAAATGACACTAAGGGCCCCTGAGAAGGTTTTACATTAAAAAAAAAGACAGTTGGGATCCTCGAGAAGGTTTCACATTAAAAAAAATATATATTTGGCGCCCCGAGAAGGTTTTACATTAAAAAAAAAAACAGTTGGGACCCCCGAGAAAGTTTCACATTAAAATAAAAAAACACTTAGGCCCCCTGAGAAGATTTTACATTTATAAAAAAGACAGTTGGGATCCCCGAGAAGGTTTTATATTAAAAAACCAGATAGTTGGGACCCCCGAGAATGTTTCACAATAAAAAAAAGACAGTTGGGACCTCCGAGATGGTTTCACATTAAAATAAAAAAACATTTGGCGCTCTCGAGAAGGTTTTGCATTAAAAAAAAACATTTGGCGCTCCGGAGAAGGTTTTGCATTTTTAAATAAGCCAATTGGGACCCCCGAGAAGGTTTCATATTAAAATAAAAAGACATTTGGGGCCCGCGAGAAGATTTCACATTCTTATTATTATTATTATTTCGAAAAATTATAAAATTTGATTTTGCGGATTTTATACCCCTATAAGTTGAAATAAACATAGGTATGTAAATATGTAATGCTAAAGTAAATGTAAAGAAACATGCTGTGCGTATGTTTCAAAAGAATTTTTACCTTACAAAATTTTGTGATGACGTTAATCATCATTTTTGTAAGAACACGTATTTCTACTTAGGTTGGTGCAGTAATACTCATAATAACGTATTATATCTCCCCCTCCCAAAGTTTTGGGAAAAATGGAGTGAGCCGTTCTCGATCAATAATAGTGTATTGTTACGAAATAAACTCACAAGCCGCCTCGGTACGACGCCTATGGCCCGTCCAGAACTCTTCTGCCGATGATGATGATGATGATTCATCCTCAATGCGACCGAGCGACGGAGTGCTAAAAAAACGCCAGGAAACGGAAATCGCCAATGGGGGTTCTAGAGAAATCTAGAAGCGGTGACATAGGCGTTTCGAGAAGGATCGCGTGCCGTTTAAATAGAGTCCACCTTCGCGAACGATTATTATTCAGCTAGTTGAGTCAAGAGAGGTTGTGCCGGAATTATTTTATAATCGCTGTAATAGTTAGTCGGGTAAATTCTAACTAGTAAGAAATAAATTGTTGAGTTTTACCCACGTAGATTTTATTCACCGATCAACGTAACAATATTATACACGAAAAGACCAAAGTGTACGATGCAATCCCGAAAGTGGAGATTAGTGTCCGAGCGTTAGCGAAGGCAATAATCACCTAAGGGTCGCACTTTAGACTTGTGGTGTATATACTATTTTTTTGCCCTCTCGGAACTATAGATACTAAATTTTAGATTGGAAGAAAATATTCGAAATTACCTATCTTCAATCGCGATAGTAATAAATATAGGTGTAAATAAGACGAGCCATTTTGAATTTTTCGATGTGTTTGTATTACCACTTTAAGTTAAAAAGTGTTCGGTTGTTATGGATACATTTTTTATCCCTAGGGTCAAAAAGCGCCACTTTAGTCCCGATTTACAACAAGAGGGCAAAAAATTAAGTATTCTATTCATTCAAATTTAATATGAATGCAATGATAAATCACAAGTATAATCTCATCATATTTTCCATAATTTAGATAGTATTTTTTCGAAAAAATTATGACATGACGTTATTAATTTTTGGGGAGATTTTGATTAAAAATTGCGGTTTTGCAGTTCTTGATTTAATCAATAAAATAAATTGGGCATTAAATTTTTTGCATCACCCTGTATGAGCAAATCGAAAAAATGTGAATGCAAACGGAATACTCTCAAAAATGCGCGGTAAAAAACAAAAGAAGAATGAAAAACGATACTGCAAACAAAACTCAGGCGGCAGCTCTTTGTGCTCATTGTGCCTGGCTGCAAGTCATAAATTAGTGGAACAACTTGCTAAGATAAAACTGATTCTGGCAAATGATATACTCCCTATGAAAATCGAGTTACATTAGTTTTACACTAATAATAATTAAATAATTCATTATTTAAGAGATCATCACTGAGCGAAGTTTCTATAAGCGCAACAAATTCAAAAAAGGACGTGCAAATACATATTATTAAAGAAAGTAATAATTTTAGATCGTAGTTCTCGCACATTCTGATAGTAAAGAAGTGTACTAGGACTGCAATTGGGTGTAGTACCTAGTTTAAATCTCTTGATATTATTCAGCCTTATCTTAGAAAATACTAGCTCCGCCCACCCACCCTCGATTTTCATAGGGAGTATATCATTGGCCAAAATCAGTCTTATCTTAGCAAGTACTAGCCCCGCCCACCCGCCCTGTATTTTCTTAGAGAATATGTCATCTGCCAAAATCAGTCTTATCTTATAAAATACTAGCCCCGCCCACCCACCCTCGAGTTTCATAGAGAGTATATCATTGGCCAAAATCAGTTTTATCTTAGCAAGTCCCCCACATATAAAATTTGACAACCAGCGGTCCAAAATCAGCTGGTCTCGGAAACGCTTGGCGTAGAGCGACGCCGTCGAGAATAAATGTTCAAATCAAGCCGCAAAAATATGTCTGCAAATTCGACATAAAAATGTTACTTAGCCATGCAACCTTGATTAAATCAGCGCCATCTGTAAGCGAAAGAACACAGCTTGAGACAGTTCTTAAGTTACGAGTCGGCAGTCAATTATGATTGATTAGCGTAGTTAGGGTACTTGTCGCTGTAAGGCGCAGTGTGCTATGAACAAAACAAAACAAATTTTTCAGAAACAGTCACCAAAATTGGGTTTCATTTGGAAAATGGCACCGTTTTTGATTAAACATGAAATTGTTAACAAGTTCAAAGTCAGTCAAACTGGCGATAAAATAGCCTCTAGTCATTTAGTAAGTCTTGCTAGAGATTATCGATTTGTCCTAAGCTATTGTTATTAAGAAAAAAATATACAAGATTATCCTACGTCAAACCAATATTTGTAGTTCGTACACTCCACTGGATTAAGATAACCTAACCTAATTAATCACTTTTTTACTAAAACCTTTAATTTGTCAGTAAGAATAGGTCGTTTTAAAAATTCTCTGTCCTGAGATCGTATCACCGGAAATACTAAAAATATCTTTTGGCGATATTTGTTGTATTTATAAAACCTTACGTTTATTAAAGCTCGTTAATCCGTAAAATCCCTCGAGATATAGACTGTTGCTAAGTATATAAGATTTCGTCAATATCATTATCACCGTTCCTATTTTAAGTCAACAAGCATTCTGACGCATATTAACATCAGAAAAGCTCTAAAATCGGTTTAGTGTTATAAAAAATACATTAAAGTCTTTCAAAGTCGCCTTGCAAATACCCAACGTCTTATCAGTCAGAAATATCTGTGATTTTATAAACAAACACTCCACGAAGCGGAAAAACAAAAAAATATTTGTGTTTGATTTATGCGACCGTGTACGCAATTATCGCTTTGATATACATCGTTACACAAAAACTCAATTAAAATCGTATGCATTCCTTACATATATTTCATTGTATTGTCAAAAAACTTCACATAAATATTTTTCCTTATTTTAAAACAAATAATACAAAAATAGATCTTAAGATAAGATCAAACTATGCTATAACACAGATAGTGAATTCGCTAGATCAAGCAACCCCGTTTGGAGTTGTTACCAACACACAAACTATAAACAATACACAAAAACCCAGTACAAAACATTAAAAATCAAAAACGTGACCGGAAACACGATCCTCGCCTTCCTGTCGACGTAAATAGCGACCTCTTGCGGCGTCATCTTCGTCCAAGTGAACACCTGCTCGTCACTCCCGGGAATCGAAATCGCAGTGTGGCAATTCGCGCTATCCAGCGAATCCACACTCTTATAATTCCCCTAAACCACAAACAAAATTAGTTACATAGTGTAAAACCGACTTAGTGACTTTATCAGTGTCACCAACTAAAATACTTACTTGCAGAGGCAACGGCTTCGTCGAATTCAAACTATCATTCGACTGCCCAATAGTGGCAAGACTGAGCGTGGACGCGTACCTCTGCAAATCCTCGCGGGACTTCTGTGGCATGAAGGCGCTCTTCAACACATATTTCGGTTTGGGTTTTTTCAGCTCGATGTGTTTCCTACAAATCATTATAGCAACTTTTGTTTTTATCAAAGTGGTAGAACTTACTTCCGCCGCCAGATGACATTCACGAAAGCGAATTCCGCTAGTGACAAGAAAATGAAGAAAATGACAGCGAGGAACCAAACGTCACTGGCTTTGACGTACGAGACCTTGGGGATGTCTTTGCTGACGCCTAGGTGGAGGGTTATGAAAGCGACCACCGTGGAGGCCCCCAAGGTGGCTCTCGGGGGGCCCGCGTCGGCTTGCAGCCAGAAGGTCACCCACGCGGTGAACACTAGCAGGTACGAAGGGATGAAAAAATCGAGGAGGTAGTAGCCGATGTCTCTATGGAACTTGAATTCGATGGTTAGTTTGGTGAAAGTGCCCACTGGGAGACCTGGGTATGGACCGGCGTCGCTACCTAGGTTAAACTCGGCTTTGTCCATGATGTATTCGGAGAAGTGTAGATCAGCGGCTTTGTAAAACGGGGGAGTTTGGGTCCATTTTAGGTCGACGTTGGCGGCATTGTTGGACCCTGAACACACCCAATCAAACAAAAATTGTCACATTGGTACCAACTTACAATCACTGAAGGCGATTTTGCACCGTTGGTAGTCAAACGGAAACTTTTTTAAATCCATTTGACAGTTAAATTGTACCGTCATTTTGTAGCTATAGGTAACCAATCCCGTTTTGGTTATAGAAACGACGATGTCTTTAGTCGATGTTGCTATGACCGAAGTGCCACTTTCGTCCCTCATGAGAATATTCGGCGTCCATATTTTTGCTTTCAGAGATTCGTCTCCAAGGATGATTGTTCTTTGGGGCGATGACGTTTCATAGTTGAGGTTTGAGTCGAGGTAGACGAATTGGACTGTCATATAAGACGTGAATTGCTACAATTAGGTTAGGATTTATCGTGTGAAACGGGTCGGCGCGAAATTCAAATTCTTACAGATTGGGTGGCTTCCATGTGTGTGATTTCCATGGTCACATTGATGGGCAAAGGGGTGGTGGTGTTGGGTCGCACGTACTTGTCATATCTGCAGGGGTCCGTCAGTTGCGATATAAATTGGTCTAGGGGTAGGTCGTCGCCGTTTGACAGGGTGGGACAGTCGGCGGCAGAACTACAATATTATCATCAATGTGTGTGTCACGTGACTAATGACAGTTTGACAGAGAAGACGGGTTCACACCAAACTGATTGTCCAAACTCAAATATTTGTCATTAAAACATTCCTTTGTTTCGACGTTGTAATCCGCTTCCTAATAACTAAAGATAATACGTCTTGAATTAGAATATGTGCAACTTATTATCACGTTTTGAAATCGTTGGCACTTATTTGTTAAATCAACACTCGTGAGGGTCGATTTTATCGTTTTATCCAGAAATCAGTCAAGGGAGACAAACAGACTCCACATTTGAATAACAATTTTGAAAGCTTGTGAAAACACTTGACACTTGCTGATAAAAACCGGATCGTGAATTGAATCTCGACTTCAATTAGGGTAATTTTCGTAATCGAGTACGCAAGCGAAATGGGTCAATGTTCTCCAAAAAATTGTATTTTGAATTATATAGTTGAAAAAGTTGAGTCAGAAGGTCGAGTTGTACAACGAGGAGGTACTTGAAATTGGCTCGAGTGTTTTTTTACTGAATGAAGATCACGCCCTGCACAAGTGTCCGCGTGTGGAATCCCGGTTTGAAGTCAACACGCGAGTCAGAGTTGTGTACTATGGAAATGTACACACGTTTTTCATGTCTTGTCACTTTGAAGTGTTGGCATTCAAATTCTTGACAGCTGTGTCTGATAGTGTCGACATTTTTGAGCGGAATCATTTTAAAAGTAAACACAAACTTGTTGTTGAAAAATTAACTTATATGAGTGACATCTGAAATTTTTCTACGCAAGTCAATTTAGTAAAAAATTGCCATGATCGTTGAAAATCATCAGATTTTAAGATAACGATGACGTTTTGAAATGAAAAACGCGAATACTTATTTAACCAATGTCAAAATGATTTTGTATTATTTAAAAATGAGGACATTTTTGAAAATGCTAAATCGTCGTGGTAGTCAAAAATTTCAAAAAAAAAAATCTACTGACCCATTTCCGATGCCTATTCCTCCCCCAAGGAGCAGAATTCCCAACAGCAACACTTTAGGAGAAGCCATCACACTTCATCAGACTCTTAGGAAAACTAAAGACCTCAAAGTAGCAGCCTATATATAAGCTCCTTATCGCGTCTACTTCAAAACTATTATACAGAAGCTAAATCTATTGTTTTTATCAAAATCCTATCGTACTTAAATCAATGCTCAACCAATTATCACCTGGGACAACTCATCTTAAAAACTTCCAAGGAAGATGAGAGAGGGCGTCCTTAGCAAACCACACATGTAAATAATGGCGCACCGCCTCTTCACCATATTACAATTCCGGCTTATCTTCAATCAAAAAATGCAAGCTTTGCGTCCTTATCTCCACTCGAACTCATCTCACGCTTACACGGGATGAACAAAATCCTAGAGATCATCTCAAGATGGAAAAAAAACGCAATATTGCTTTAATTATTTATTAAACATTTCATTGTCACTTAAAACAAACTTCACACTTGCGTCGTCCAAATTAAACACACTTCATTCAAACAAGAACAATGATCGATAATTACAAAAACCAACACCTATGTTTTAATATGCGGCTGCATACAATTGATAGTGTAGCTAAGAAAGTGAAGGTCTTGTAGCAGTTGCGTCAGCCGCTTGAAATGTCTCTCGGTGTACGGTAGCGCACCCTCCAACGCCCCACTCAACCCCACCGGCCTGAACTCCCCCGTCTGTAACTCCCCGATCAAAATATTCAAGACGAGTTGAGCCGAATGGCAGTTTCTGCTGTTCGTGTTCCAGTCGGTGGCGCACTTCAGCAAACTTTCCTTCTGGTCGTTGCGCAACTCCTTCACCGCGTCCGACAACCCGGTGGTGTCCCCTTTTCGAACTATCCCTTGCACGATCTTCAACACCTGCAAGGGTCTGTCGAGCCTCAAAGCCAACTTCAACGCCTTCACGAGCTCGTCGTTCTGCAGATAATTGGCTAGTTTCTGCTGCTGGAGTGTCTCCTCTTCTTGTTCCTTCAATCTTTGGAGTTTGCGTTCTTCAGTCACGTCTTTCCACTTAACCAGAAGCGAATCCGACCCTCCGGTTACGATTTCGGTTTCGTCTTTGTGTACCGCCATGGCCCAAATGCGGCCTTCGTGCGTCTCGAACGTCCCCACGCACTCCGAGGTCTTCACGCTGAAGAGTTTGAGGAGACCGTCGGCCCCCGCACTCACGATTTGCATCCCGTTGGAGATGAACGCGACTTGGAGGACGCTGGATTCGTGTCCTTCCAGAGTCTTGAGACAGTGGAGGTCGCTGACTGACCACAGTTTCACGGTACAGTCGGCCGACGACGTAAGCACGACTTGGTCCACCGGGGAGAACGCCACCGACCAGACGCCGCGTTTGTGGCCTTTGAGAGTCCCCACTAGGGTTAGAGCTTCGGTCCAGAGTTTGGCGGTTTTGTCTTGCGACGCGGTGGCGATGATTTTCCCGTTTGGGGACACCGAGACACAATTAATGTCTTTGTGGTGGGCGACTTCGGTGCTAGTGCACGTCAGGATTGTGTCGCTTTCGGGATTTGCAGGGGTTTCCCAGAGTTTGAGACAGGTGTCTTGGCTGGCGCTGAAGAAGCACGAGGTGGCGTTGTGGAAGGCGACGGACCCGACGGACGCGGTGTGACTGTGACCTACCCCGACGCACGACATGGAAGACCCGTTGAATAACCACAAGCGGATTTTGTTGTCTTTGCTCCCCGATAGCATAAGATCGGGGTTGGCTGTACTCGTGGATAAACAAAGCACGATGTCGGTGTGCCCTTTCAGCAATTGACAGTTCATAGTGGAGTCGTAGAGTTTGATGTCGAGCGAATTCGTGGCGACTGCCAGATGACTCGAGTCTTTTCGCACAAAGGCGACGTCGAGGATCTCGTCGGAAAACCCGACGAATTGTTTAAGACACACGAAGGACTTGAGATTATGTAGGATGATGTTGTGGTCGGCGGTGACTACAGCCAAAGTTTTCGACTCTTGTTGGAAGAGTAGTTTGGTGATGGCCAACCCGCCTTCGTCCGCTTTCGTCACTAGGGAGTTCTCTTGTACGTAGACTTCTTTCGCGTTAGTGACGTCCCACACTCTTACTAAGCCTCGCTCACCGGCAGACGCCACGTAAATACACTCCGGGTCGGATTTAAACCCCGGTACTTTAAACTTCTCGGGGAGTTTAACTACGACTTCCACGTTTTCGTACACCGGGATGGTCCTCAAGGGTTTTCCATGTCCGAACTCCCACAGAATCACTACTTTGTCGCGACCCGACGTCACCAAGTGCTTCTCGTTGACCAGAAGCAACGCCGTCACTTTACTGAAGTGGGCGTTGTAGGTGGTGAGGGACGCCCCTTTCGTTGCGTCCCAGGATAAAACCCGCCCGTCGTCCCCGCTTGCTAGGATCGCGTTCTCGGGGTGGAACTCCACGACGTTGACTACCCCTTGGCACCCCTTGAGACTCAGGACGCACGTTTGGTGCTCCAAGTTCCACACTCTGACGACGCCGTCAGAGCCCCCACTTGCCAGCAACTGATGGTTTAGGGTTAACCGGGCGATGGGGCCTTTGTGGATGCATTTCCACACCTTCACTAGCTCCCCTTTCGCGTTCCACAGTTTGAGCAAGCCGCTTTTGTGCGAGCTTACCAACCGTTCGCCATCAGTTGTGAAAGTGTGGATGTGGTCTGAGTCCTCGGTGTTGTCTTCGCCGATGGTCTGGGACACCGTTCCATCCTGGGTGTTCAGTAAGGATACCGAGGACGCAGTTTGGCAGTATAAAGTGTCTTTGTGCCACTCTACGTTGCCGCCGGTGTAGAAAGCACCGTGTTTTGATTCCACCTCAAATCTGTAAACAAAGAAACGTTGTTTGAAAACATGTTTTTGTTTTCTTGGATTCGGGATGAGGAAGTGTGCGATAATGAGTTGAAATAATAACGTGTTGACGAGACTAGGAATGTTTTAATTTATTCGGGGCAAATAAGAACTGCGTGCTATGGTAATTATCGAGTCGTGGTAAAAGTGCGTCTTGAAGACGATTAGATCTGGTGAAAATAGATGAACTATGACCTGGTGCATCTTCAATAGACATGATTTCATCGCAAATTATTCAAACGGGTGGCATCATCGTTGAGTTATTTGGCGTAGTGCGATTTTGCTTTACTAATATTTGTTTTGACACTTTCCGCATTTCGGGTGCTTGCAATTTTTTCTAAATTTTATAAAAACCTTAACTAATCATATACATTCCATATTGATGTGATAATTTGGTTCCACGAAAATACTAACTGATTATAATCGGTGTTGCAACTACCACTTGTTGAGAACAAAAGTTGCATTGTTTTGCTTAACTGATATTTGATGTTAATCTGCATCCTGTCAGACTTCACCCTGTGGAACGACACGTATTAATTATATTAATATTAAGTAATTACTTTTGTGGTTTATCTGGTGTCTAAAGATTAAAATATCGAGATCTGTAATTCAAAGAATTTCTCGTTTCAGTTTAGTATACCCCAGTTGCCATTGTTTGTTCCTGTGTTTCTCAATCACACGTGAAATAAAAAAATGTATAATAAAATAATCAATTACTACAACAGATATGGGTCAGAGATTGCCGATTGTTAACAGCGAACAATACGATAAAGTTGTTTAATTAAGTTAATTTGGCAATACATTGTGTATTTTTTATATATCTAGTGATATCTGGTTATGCACTTGTTTATTCTAACGCGCAAGATTTTATTACCACTGCTTGATTAAATTATACGACTTTATGGTCTGACTGACTTAAAATTAATCCTGCAAGAAAACAAGCGAAATTAAAACCGTTCGAAGTAAATAAGTTGCATTTAAAACATATCCGGTGGCATATTTAGTAATGCAATTCGTATTGAGAAAGACACATTTTATTTTGTTTTACTTTACTTATCAAGTTGCCAATATTTGTTCTTGGATAAACATAGGTATTGTCTTGTTGTTTTCGTTTTCAATTACATTTATTATACACCCAACAGCGCTCGATTCCGGTTCGAAAAAAATTATGTCGTAACTAATTCTAAATCTGAATTCTTAATAAAATCCACCATTTATTTTTTTACAATTTAGACAAGAAACTTAGAACAAATTGTACATTTTTGCAGGGAAATAAGGATTTTGCAATTATGGGGCGGAGTTCCATGTTGTGAAAAGAAGTCTACACATATTAAAACAAAAAGACAAAATGTAAGCCCGCCCACCCACCCTATCTCGATTGTGATGATTTTTTTTATTCGTCGAGAACCAAGAGGGCGGAGCTTACCTGCAAAATACTTATTTCTTGACAAGAAATTAAAAACATGTTTTTGAGTATCGTATTGTTCAAAGAATACTATAGGGCCGGTTGCATAAACGCAAATCAAATTTAATCTCTGATTAAGAACAATTGTAACTATGATAATAACAATCGTTACTATGGAGTTAATCAGAGATTAAATTTGATTTGCGTTTTGCAACCGGCCCTATGTGTATTAGGAAACAAAGGCAACATACAAACCCCGCCCACCCACCCTATCTCAATTGTGATGATTTTTATTCTTAAGAATTTAAAACACGTTTAAAATGGTAAAATTTTCTAAGCAAATATGGATTTTGCATTTAGGCTCCGCCTCTAGGTCTGCCAACGAATGAAAACTTCATTACTATTTAGATCAGGACGAATAAGGACGAAAAAGGATAATAAGGACGGAAAAGGATAATGAGGACGAAAAAGGATAATAAGGACGAAAAAGGATGATAAGGACGAAATAGGATAATAAGGACGAAAACGACAAAAAAGGACGAAAAATGACGAAGGACGAAAATGGATAATAAGGACGAAAAGAGACGAAAAATTACGACGAAGGACGAAAAAGAATAATAAGGACGAAAAGAGACGAAAAATTACGACGAAGGACGAAAAAGGATAATAAGGACGAAAAAGGACGAGAAGGAGGAAAGAGGACGAAAAATTACAGAAAAGAACGAAAAATGACGAAATAGGATAATAAGGACGAAAGAGGATAATAAGGACGACAAAAGGATAATAAGGACGAATAAGGACGAAAAAGGACGAATAAGGACGAGAGAGGATAATAAGGTCGAAAAAGGTTAATAAGGACGAAAAAGGATAATAAGGACGAAAAGGGACGAAAAATTACGATGAAGGACGAAAAAGGACGAGAAGGACGAAAGAGGACGAAAAATTACAGACAAGAACGAAACATGACGAAATAGGATAATAAGGACGAAAGAGAATAATAAGGACGAAAAAGGATAATAAGGACGAAAAAGGACGAATAAGGACGAAAAAAGGATAATAAGGACTATAAAGGACGAGAAGGAAGAAAGAGGACGAAAAATTACAGAAAAGGACGAAAAATAACGAAATAGGATAATAAGGACGAAAAAGGAGAATAAGGACGAAAAAGGACGAATAAGGACGAAAAAGGATAAGGACGAAAAAGGACGAAATAGGATAATAAGGACGAAAGAGAATAATAAGGACGAAAAAGGATAATAAGGACGAGAAGGACGAAGAAGGACGAAAAAGAACGACGAAGGACGAAAAAGGACGAAGGACGAAAAGAACGAAAAAGGACGAGAAGGACGAAAAGGACGAAAGAGGACGAAAAAGGACGGAAGAGGACGAAAAAGGACGAAAAAGGACGTAAAAGGACGAAAAGGACAAAAAAGGACGAAGAAGGATGAAAAAGGACGAAGAAGGATGAAAAAGGACGAAAATGGATAATAAGGACGAAAATGACGAAGGACGACAAAGGACAATAAGTACCAAAAAGGACCAAAAAGGACGAAAAAGGATAATAAGGACGAAAGAGGATGATAAGGACGAAATAGGGTAATAAGGACGAAAACGACGAAAGAGGACCTAAAATGACGAAGGACGAAAATGAATAAATAAGGACGAAAAGGGACGAAAAATTACGATGAAGGACGAAAAAGGACGAGAAGGACGAAAGAGGACGAAAAATTACAGAAAAAGAAAAATGACGAAATAGGATAATCAGGACGAAAGAGGATAAAAAGGACGACAAAAGGATAATAAGGACGAAAAAGGACGAATAAGGACGAGAGAGGATAATAAGGACGATAAAGGACGAGAAGGACGAAAGAGGACGAAAAAGGATAATAAGGACGAAAAAGGGCGAAAAATGACGAAGAAGGACGAAAAAGGGTAATAAGGACAAAAAAGACAAAAAGGACGAAAAAGGATAATAATGACGAAAATGGATGATAAGGACGAAAATGGATAAAAAGGACGAAAAGGGACGAAAAATTACGACGAAGGACGAAAAAGGATGATAAGGACGAAAAAGGACGAGAAAGACGAAAGAGGACGAAAAATTACAGAAAAGAACGACAAATGACGAAATAGAATAATAAGAACGAAAGAGGAGAATAAGGACGACAAAAGGATAATAAGGACGAATAAAGACGAGAGAGGATAATAAGGACGATAAAGGACGAGAAGGACGAAAGAGGACGAAAAATTACAGCAAAGGACGAAAAATAACGAAATAGGACAATAAGGACGAAAAAGGACGAGGAGGACGAAAAAGGACGAGGAGGACGAAAAAGGACGAATAAGGACGCAAAGGACGAAAAAGGATGAAAAAGGAAGAAAAAGGAAGAAAAAGGAAGAAAAAGGACGAAAAGGCCAAAGGACGAAAAAGGATAACCAGGACGAAAAAGGACGAGAAGGACGAAAAAGGACAAAAAGGACGAAAAAGGACGAGAAGGACGAAAAAGGACAAAAAGGACGAAAAAGGACAAAAAGGACGAAAAAGGATAATAAAGACGAAAAAGGATGATAAAGACGAAAAAGGACGAAATAGGATAATAAGGACGAAAACGACGAAATAGGATAATAAGGACGAAAACGACGAAATAGGATAATAAGGACGAAAACGACGAAAAAGGACGAAAACGACGAAAAAGGACGAAAAATGACGAAGAAGGACGAAAATGGTTAATCAGGACAAAAAGGGACGAAAAAGGATAACCAGGACGAAAAAGGACGAGAAGGACGAAAAAGGATGATAAGGACGAAAAAGGATGATGAGGACGAAACAGGATGATAAAGACGAAAAAGGACGAAATAGGATAATAAGGACGAAAACGACGAAAAAGGACGAAAACAACGAAAAAGGACGAAAAATGACGAAGAAGGACGAAAATGGATAATAAGGACGAAAAGGGACGAAACTGGATAATAAGGACGAAAAGGGACGAAAAATTACGACAAAGGACGAAAAAGGATAATAAGGACGAAAAAGAACGAGAAGGACGAAAGAGAACGAAAAATTACAGAAAAGAACGAAAAATGACGAACTAGGATAATAAGGACGAAAGAGGATAATAAGGACGAAAAAGGATAATAAGGACGAAAAAGGACGAGGAGGACGAAAAAGGACGAATAAGGACGCAAAGGACGAAAAAGGACGAATAAGGACGCAAAGGACGAATAAGGACGCAAAGGACGAAAAAGGATGAAAAAGGAAGAAAAAGGACGAAAAGGACAAAAGGGCGAAAAGGACGACGAAGGACGAAAAAGGACGAAGAAGGACAAAAAAGGACGATAAAGTACCAAAAAAGGACGATAAAGCACGAAAAAGGACGATAAAGCACGAAAAAGGACGATAAAGCACGAAAAAGGACGAGAAGGGCGAAAAAGGACGAGAAGGACGAAAAAGGATAAGGACGAAAAATTACGAAGAACGAAAAAGGATAATAGGGACCAATAAGGACGAAAAAGGACGATAAAGGATGAAAAAGGACGAGAAGGACGAAAAAGGATAATAACGACGAAAAGGACGAAAAAGGATAATAAGGACGAAAAAGGACGAGAAGGACGAAAAAGGACGACAAAGGATGAAAAAGTACGAAAAGACGAATAAGAACGAAAAAGGACGAAAAATGACGAAAAAGGATAATAAGGACGAAAAAGGACGAATAAGGACGAAAAAAGACGAATAGGACGAAAAAGGACGAATAAGGACGAAAAAAGACGAAAAGGACGAAAAAAGACGAAACAGACAAAAGGACGAAAAAGGATAATCAGGACGAAAAAGGATGAGAAGGACGAAAATGGACGATAAGCTCGGAAAAGGACGAAAATGGACGAAAAAGGACGAGAAGGACGAAGACGGATAATGAGGACGAAAAAGGATAATAAGAAAGAAAAAGGACGAAAAAAGATAATAAGGACGAAAATTGAAGAAAAAGGATAATAAGGACGAAAAAGGATAATAAGAACGAAAAAGGACGAAAAAGGATAATAAGAAAGAAAAAGGACGAAAAGATTGATTTTAATTTTTTCTTAATATATTTTATGTACCCAGTATTCTTTGAATAACACGATACCCAACAACATGTTTTTAATTCCTCGTAAACACATAAGGATTTTGCAGTTAAGCTCCGCCCCCTTGGCTCACGACAAATAAAAAAAATCATCACAATTGAGACAGGGTGGGTGGGTGGGGCTTATATTTTGCCTTTTTTTTTCTTAGTATGTGCAGTCATCTTTTCACAACAAGAAACTTAAAACCTGTTTAAAATGGTAAATTTGTATAGGAAAACATCGATTTTGCAATTACGCTCCGCCCCTCGGTCTGACAACGAATGAAAAATTCATCACGATTGAGATCGATATGGATGGGTGGGGCTTCTCTTTTGGTTTTCTTTTTTTAATTAATACATTTAGTTTTCTTTGTATAATAATTGGATTTTGCAATTATGGGGCGGAGCCTATTTGCAGAACGGGTATTTCCTTATACAAATTTTCCATTTTAAACATGTTTAAAGTTTCATGTTGTGAAAAGATGACTACACATACTAAGAAACGAAGGCAAAATATAAGCCCCACCCCACCCACCCTATCTCGATTGTGATGATTTTTTTTTTTTTGCTGTGAACCAAGGGGGCGGAGATTAACTGCAAAATACTTATTTCTTTACAAGGAAAACCTGTTTTTGAGTATCGTATTATTATTATTCAAAGAATACTATATATATTAAGAAAAAAAGGCAAGATTTTTTTTTTCTTAGAAACTTAAAACAGGTTTAAAATTGTACATTTTACAAGTAATGACATTAGTAAATGACAACTGCCCAATATTTTTTGAATAAAACTGTACATGGTAATTTTTTGTAGAGAAATAATAAAGATTTAAAAAAAATCATAACAATTGAGATAGGGCGGGTCGGCGGGTTTATATTTTACCTTTTTTTTTAATATGTGTGGTATTCTTTCAACACGATACTGAAAAACATGTTTGTAATTCCTCGTAGAGAAATACGGATTTTGCAAAATTAAATTAATTAAAAATTAAATTAAATTCTTGGCTCACGACGAATAAAAAAAAATCGTTTTACAGTGAAACCACCTCGATTCATGTAGCCACCTTGGCTTTGATTACACATTTTCAAAACATAACCTCAAAACAAATGTATCATACAAATTACACGAAATTACGGCAAGGGGGCACTTCCACAACATTTGAAGGTAAGGAACGTGATCAGGGGGTGTCCAATAAGGGGGCTATAAAACACTTTCAGCAAAACCGTGACTAAAAATGTAACAATTACTCATATTTCATGGACTGTATGGTAAACGCAGTTTTAAAATAATAAAACACTTACGCTTCTTTCAATTTGGCCGTAGTCATTTTCGTTTAAAGCACAATCACCCACAAAAACGAGCTTTTCGGTGCTCTAACCTCAAACTTCGTTCCACACCGAAAACATGTGCGTAACCACAGAATAGTCGAATAGTGGGAGAAGCGAACGTCAAATGAACGTGAAATGAACCACAGAATAGCGTGTTTCAGAAATCGTTCATACACGTCGTTTATTTTCACAAGCTGACGTTTCGCATTTTACAAAACAATTTCTTTATTAGTAAAGATTATAAAATTTCAACCGCAAAATCGGTTATACAACTTAGTAGCATGGACGTAGCCACGTATTTATTTATCTCTACAGTCTTCAGAAGTCGCGCTGCGCCTTTGATTAAAAGTAGGCCGCCTCCAATAGCCGCAGTAGCAAGTGCGTTGTTTGCCACATCCTCAGGACCGTTCGAACATATTGTTGCCCCTGTCATTAGCGTAAAAGTGCAGATAGTTTGGTAGGTTAACGCGGTGTCGACAATGGATGAGGCAACTTTTACACCCAACGAATACACAAGCCGTCTGAAGAAAGCGTCAGAATTGGGGTAGATATCTAAAACCAAGATCAGAAAAGATGATAGGATAATTAGGTAGTGATCAATCGTGAAATATCCAAACAAGAGTAAATCGATCACTGGTAACGCAAGAAATGTTTGAACGAGCGTTTTTAGTTTAACTACTTCGCCAAAGATAGGTTCACAGAAGACTATAGTTAATTTTATCACGTCTGATGTTTTGTTCAGCATGAAATTATAAGTAGTATAAAACGGTCTAAGCTGAGTACAGTCCGTATACGAATATATCCAAAAAAAAATCATTCCACAGGAAATCAAGTACTGTGAATATTCAAATGTGATATCTACAGGGTCGCCCAAGTGTGTACACAATTCAATCAATACTAGTCCATAGTAGAAGTACTGAAGTCCATAAGTAACGTCCAAATGAAGATAACTGCAAACGATATACGAAAAGATGATTGCATGTTTGTAAAAACTGAAAGCTTCTAGTTCAAAGTTTTTGTACGAAACATATAGCACATCTAATAAAATAATTGTAGAACCTAAATGTGGTTTATCGTTCGTGATGCAATAAAAACCATAAATCAAACTAGCAAGCCAAACAAAAAAGTCCAAGTCTTGTGGAAGTGGTGAAGAGTTGCCATACAATTTCGAAAGTTCTATCTGCCTCTCAAAAAATTCGTCACGAAGTATCTTTTGTGTACTGGGAAGGCTTAGATATTCTTTAGGTGTTACTACAAAATAAACATAGTTAATCGATTCATCTTTGGCCGCCATTTTGTGCCACGTTATTACATACTTACGTAAAATTTTTGCAATAATTTGTGCGTCGTTGGGATTCTTTTCAATTTTCTTGATCGCTTTATCTAACCACCGGCTTACATTTTTAAACGTTTTCTTGTTCACTTTCTGGTGGAATAAATTGTTTTTTTCGTTCCAGAAATACGGAATTTGCCCTTGTTTAACGTATTGTTGGTACTCCTTCAACATGTCCACAAAAACATCACTCAGAGGTCTTCTCCAGTACGACTCGGATTTGGTTAGACAAGCATGAAGAAACATTGTTTTTATGTAGTAGCTAGGGATCCAAGTGGCATTGTTTGAGTCCCTCATTTTCTGGAAGAAACGGAGTTACCCTTTTTGTGTAAATACGACTGTAGGGTAATTTTTACTTTCAATAATTTCAGTGTTGGTTTTAACGTCAGTTTATTGTCAATCATTACTCTCTCCTGTTCTTGGAAGGATAATCTCCAAAAACGTGATACGTCTGCAGAGTCTTTTGGATTTTTCGGAACGACAAAAAATTCCGGCTGAAAATAAAAAAGCAACGTAGTAGTTATGGACAACGCTCTCAAAAAAAAAAATCAAAACCTTAGAAGGGACCGGATTTCTCCGAAAACCACTCGGCCACTTATCATCTCTGAACACAAAACACGGCACCAAATCCACATCCATTTTCGTCGTAGGTGCAACAATGTGGAGCGTTAAAGCCGGCCCTGATTTACTAAACGTCACCCTCAAGCTATTTCCAGCCACAAAATTATTCAAGCTCCTCTGAACCAGACCCTCCATCCACGACAAAACTTTATCAGTATTGACATGTCTGTTGTCATCTAACAATCTTCCAAAGTTGCTATATGAAGGCAATGCTTCCGGCTGACGCATCCAAGCGTCAAGTCTATTAACTTGAAGTTGAACAAATCCGGGATAAATACTGTCCACTAGTTCCGGTTGAGCATATCGCGGCAAGTCCAACAACAAATCCAAATCGAACTCCCCAGGGTCGCCAACTTTCAAGCCATCGTAGTAACTGCCACCGTAGAAAACGCGCCTGAACATAGCGTCGAATAAAGGGTCCTGCTGTTTCATGGTGTCGATGAACCTGGGAACCACCTAACGAACACCATGAAGTTAGAAAAAAATGAATTGTAAGTCAAATCGGAGTTCGTACATCCCCGATAATTTCGTTATTCGTGTACACCATCCACTCCGGGAGATTTATAAAAGTCCTGTTTATTTCGTGCAAATTGTGCTCCATTTTTATGGTTGAAGAGTAGACTTGGTGAAATTAGCGTCTGCAACAAATTATCATTACAGTGAATTTTGTAAAAAATCGTGCGTCGATTCTGTCATGTCTAGGGAATTTTAACTGTTACCAACATAGTTGAAAAATTGGCGGAAAAAAGATAAACTTACTGTTGGCGTTGAAGTTGCCGTTGCAATTGAGTGAAAATTGTCATTTATTCAAGATTACTACAAAAATCTACCATTTTGTTTTAAGTTTCTTGTTGTCGAAATAAGTCTACACATATTAAGAAAAAAACGGCAAATTATTAGCCCCGCCCACCCACCCTATCTCAATTCTGATGATTTTTTTTATTCGTCGTGAGCCAAGGAGGCGGAGCTTATCTGCAAAATACTTATTTCTCTAATTAAAAACAGGTTTGTGAGTATCGTGTTGTTCAAAGAATACTACATATGTATATTAAGAAATAATTAAAGCCCACCTTGCCTTGATCTAAATAGTAATGAAGTTTTCATTCGTTGGCAGACTAGGGGCGGAGCCTAATTCCAAATCCAGACTTCCCTACAAAAATTTACCATTTTGAACGTGTTTTTAATTTCTAAGAATAAAAAAGATCATCACAATTGAGATAGGGTGGGTGGGCGGGGTATATATTTTGTCTTTTTTTCTTAATATACATAGCCATCTTTTCACAACAAGAAACTTAAAAATGATTAAAATGGTACATTTTTACAAGGAAATATGGATTTTGCAATTATATAACTTAATATATAATATAAGCCCACCCACCCGCCCTGTTTCAATTCTGATGATTTTTTTTTATTCGTCGTATGCCAAGGGGGCGGAGCTTAACTGCAAAAACCTTATTTCTTTACAACAAATTAAAAACATGTTTTTGAGTACTGTGTTGTTCAAAGAATACTACGTATATTAAGAAAAAAACAGACAAAATATAAACTCCGCCCACCCACCCCATCTCAATTGTGATGATCTTTACATTTTGCCTTTTTTTTTCTTTAATGTGTAGATGTTTAAAATGGAAAACTTGTATAAGGAAATATCGATTTTGAAATTAGGTTCCATCCATAATTGCAAAATCCATATTTCCTTGTAAAAATGTATAATTTTAACATTATTTTAAGTTTCTTATGAAAAGATAGCTACGTAAATTTAGAAAAAAAAAGCAAAATATTAACCCCGCCCACCCGCCCTGTCTCAATTGTGATGATTTATTTTATTCGTTGTGAGCCAAGGGGGCAGAGCTTAACTGCAAAATTCTTATTTCTCTACAAGAAATTAAAAAATGTGTTTGAGTATCGTCTTGCTAAAAAAATACTATGGATTTTAAGAAAAAATTAAAACCCACCCATACTTGCGTTGATCTAAATAGTAATTAAATTTTCATTCGTTGGTACACAAGGGGCGGAGCCTAATTGACAAATTCACACTTCCCTAAAAAAATTTACCATTTTGAACGTGTTTTAAATTTCTAAGAATAAAAAAGATCATCACAATAGAGATGGGGTGGGTGGGGGGGGTTATATTTATTTTGCCTTTTTTCTTAATTTACATAGTATTCTTTGAACACGATACTTAGAAACATGTTTTTCATTTCTTGTAAAGAAATAAGTAATTTGCAGTTAAGCTCCGCCCTTTTGGTTCTCGGCGAATAAAAAAAATCATCACAATTGAGTGAGGGCGGGTGGGCGGGTTTACATTTTGGCCTTTTGTTTTAAAACGTGTAGACTTCTTTTCACAACAAAAGAAACTTAAAACATGTTTAAAATGGAAAATTTGTATAACGAAATTTCAGTTTTGCAATTAAGCTCCGCCCCCCGATAATTGCAAAATTCATATTTCCTTGTAAAAATGTACGATTTTAACCATATTAAAATATTAACCCCGCCCACCCACCCGATCTCAATTCTGATGATTTTTTTATTCGTCATCTGCCAAGGGGGCGGAGCTTAACCGCAAAATCCTTATTTCTCTACGAGAAATTAAAAAATGTGTTTGAGTATCGCGTTGCTAAAAAAAACTATGTATATTAAGAAAAAAATAAAACCCACCCATACTTGCCTTGATCTAAATAGTAATTAAATTTTCATTCGTTAGTAGACAAGGGGCGGAGCCTAACTGAAAAATCCACACTTCCCTAAAAAAATTACCATTTTGAACGTGTTTTAAATTTCTAAGGATAAAAAAGATTATCACAATTGGGATGGGGTGGGTGGGTGGGGGGGGGTTTATATTTATTTTGGCTTTTTTCTTAATTTACATAGTTTTCTTTCAACACGATACCTAGAAACATGTTTTTAGTTTCTTGTAAAAAAATAAGTATTTAGCAGTTAAGCTCCGCCCCCTTGGTTCTCGGCGAATAAAAAAAATCATCACAACTGAGTGAGGGCGGGTGGGCGGGTTTACATTTTGGCCTTTTGTTTTAAAACGTGTAGATTTCTTTTCACAACAAAAGAAACTTAAAACATGTTTAAAATGGAAAATTTGTATAACGAAATTTCAGTTTTGCAATTAAGCTCCGCCCCCCGATAATTGCAAAATTCATATTTCCTTGTAAAAATGTACGATTTTAACCATATTAAAATATTAACCCCGCCCGCCCACCCGATCTCAATTCTGATGATTTTTTTTATTCTTCGTGAATCAAGGGGGCGGAGCTTAACTGCAAAATACTCGTTTCTTTATAACAATTTAAAAACATATTTTTGAGTACTGTGTTGTTCAAAGAATACTACGTATATTAAGAAAAAACAGACAAAATATAGACCCCGCCCACCCACCCCATCTCAATTGTGATGATCTTTACATTTTGCCTTTTTTTTTCTTTAACGTGTAGACTTCTTTTCATAAGAAGACACTTAAAACATGTTTAAAGTGGAAAACCTGTATAAGGAATTATCGATTTTGCAATTAGGTTCCATCCATAATTGCAAAATCCATATTTAATTGTAAAAATGTATAATTTTAACATTATTTTAAGTTTCTTGTGAAAAGATGGCTACGTAAATTTAGAAAAAAAAAGCAAAATATTAACCCCGCCCACCCGCCCTATCTCAATTCTGATGATTTTTTTATTCGTCATCTGCCAAGGGGGCGGAGCTTAACCGCAAAATCCTTATTTCTCTACGAGAAATTAAAAAATGTGTTTGAGTATCGTGTTGCTAAAAAAATACTATGTATATTAAGAAAAAAATAAAACCCACCCATACTTGCGTTGATCTAAATAGTAATTACATTTTCATTCGTTGGTAGACAAGGGGCGGAGCCTAACTGAAAAATCCACACTTCCCTAAAAAAAATTACCATTTTGAACGTGTTTTAAATTTCTAAGGATAAAAAAGATTATCACAATTGGGATGGGGTGGGTGGGGGGGTTTATATTTATTTTGGCTTTTTTCTTAATTTACATACAGAGTCATCAAAATTGATTGAGAGAGTTGGTAAACCTGAACTTGAATAATTTGGTTTATTAAGTTGTATAAAAATATTAGCTGTCAGATTTGAAGTTTCAAGTTTCAAATTTCAAAACTCAGTGGCGTCTTTTTTCGACTTTTTTTTTTAGTAAAAACATTAGTTGTCAGATTTGAAGTTTCTAATTTTTGTCACGCCACTGAATTCATTGCCATATAACCTTAAACAAATCTGTCATAAGGTTGACAAACTTCACGACAAAAACAGGGGGTACCAACTCTCTCAATCAATTTTGATGACCCTGTAGTTTTCTTTGAACACGATACCTAGGAACATGTTTTTAATTTGTTGTAAAAAAATAAGTATTTAGCAGTTAAGCTCCGCCCCCTTGGTTCTCGGCGAATAAAAAAAATCATCACAATTGAGTGAGGGCGGGTGGGCGGGTTTACATTATGGCCTTTTGTTTTAAAATGTGTAGACTTCTTTTCAAACAAGAAACTTAAAACATGTTTAAAATGGAAAATTTGTATAATGAAATATCAATTTTGTAATTAGGCTCTCCCCCCCATAGTTGCAAAATCCATATTTCCTTATAAAAATGTACGATTTTAACCATATTAAAATATTAACCCCGCCCACCCACCCTATCTCAATTCTGATGATTGTTTTTATTCGTCGTGAGCCAAGGGGGCGGAACTTCAACTGCAAAATCCTTATTTCTTTACGAGAAATTGAAAAAATGTTTTTAAGTATCGGGTTGGTAAAAAAATATTATGTATATTAAGAAAAAAATCCTTATTTCTTTACGAGAAATTGAAAAAATGTTTTAAAGCATCGGGTTGGTAAAAAAATATTATGTATATTAAGAAAACATTAAACCCAAAGATTAAGCCCCACCCACACTTGCCTTGATCTAAATAGTAATGAAGTTTTCATTCGTTGACAGAGTAGGGGCGGAGCCTAATTGCAAAATCCACACTTCCCTACAAAAGTTTACCATTTTGAACGTGTTTTAAATTTCTAAGAATAGAAAAGATCATCACAATTGAGATGGGGTGGGTGGGCGGGGTATATATTTTGTCTGTTTTTTTCTTAATATACATAGTATTCTTTGAACAACACAATACTCAAAAACTTGTTTTTAATTTGTTGTAAAGAAACGAGTATTTTGCAGTTAAGGTCCGCCCCCTTGATTCACGACGAATAAAAAAAAAATCATCACAATTGAGTGAGGGTGGGTGGGCGGGTTTACATTTTGCCTTTTTGTTTTAATATGTGTAGACTTCTTTTAACAACAAGAAACTTAAAACATGTTTAAAATGGAAGCTTAATTGTAAAATCCTTCTTTTTCTATGAGAAATTACAATGTGACATATGTTCTCTAATTGTGTTATACAGAGAAAACTAAATCTATTAATTATTAAAAAGAAAACTAAAAGAGAAGCCCCACCCATCCGTCTCGATCTCAGTTGTGATGAATTTTTCATTTGTTGTCAGACCGAGGGGCGGAGCCTAATTGCAAAATCATGGTTTTTATGTAACAACGGCAACGTCAACGGTGAACAGCAACGTCAGCGGCAAGCTTATAAATCGACCTTTATGTACATCACCTCTAAGAACACATTTCGGATAATGTTCCAAAAGAAAATTAAAATAATAAACAGTAACGAACCATGCAATATGGGGCCACCACTGGTTGTGCACAAATTTTTGCTAATTTATTATTATCTAGTTGCCATCGATAAATGACAGCTGACATAGCCACAAGGTGTGGCTACAAGTCCAGAGGTCGGTTCATTTTATCCGTGCTTAAAAATAAAAAACCATCTAGTGTATTCCTGGTTGCGCACCCATCGACCATTGCCCTTCGACCACGTGATCCCGCTTGTCATCCTGCCCCCGATCCCAGCGACCCATACATCATCCACTCCACCTGACGCCCTCCGGTCTCTCTCCCACTCTCCCCAGCGCCATCTTCCCTCTCCCTCGTGCCATGTTTTGGTCATTTGACATTTCACAGCTGGCGGATCGAATTTCGACACACAAACGTATGTAAACAGAAAAAATCCGCCACCTTGCGCCCCCAAGTGAAAAATGCAGTCCGAGGACGTGGAAATCGAGGTAAAACCAACCCCCTCCACCCATTCGCGATTATAACCCCGCAAACGTGATTTCAGTTGCCGTCCCCCTGCCTCGACGGCCTGGACATGGCTCTGCAGCGGCTGGGGATGCTCGCCACCAGCACGAACTCCCGCCGGGAGTACCTCAAGGAGGCCCGGCGGAAATCCTACTTGAACATGGTCCGCATCAACACCCGATACGTCAGTAACGTGTCGATAGGTTTCAGGGTGCGCCCGCTCACGCCCCACGTGCGCTACAAACCCTACGCGGTGAAGCGGCACCGCACGCGCTCCGAGAACAACGACGGCGAGGACGCCGGGATGGTGAAGGCTGTGGTGGACGAAGTGATCGAGAACTCAGTGGATCTGGCCCAGCTGAAGAAGGCCAAGTCGCTCGAGAGCATCGTGGCGGAGTGCAACGCCGAGGTGGATTTGCAGAACATCAACATTCAGGAGGTGGAGGTGGTTTCGAATTGTATACAGAACTTGAAGGTTGTAGAGTGACTGCGACTGTTATGACACATCAGCTAAACTGTGCACTGTCACTGCCTTGTCTTTTTTTCGGGGGTCGGGGGCCGAATTGCGCTGTGTTCGTTGTAAGTGCGTCAGGTACCTCAGTTGCGGTTTTTTTTTTTAGGTTAGGGTAGGATTGTAAGCGCGTTTGTTTTGGTTTTTTCTTTTGGATGTAATTGGTGCACAATGTATGGTGTGAGCCAAAGACACTCGAGACGAGGGACTGAAATCTAGTATTTGTAATTCGTAAGCGACGTTATTTATTAAATTGACTATCATTTGTTGTAATAACTGTGGATTATGGACAGAAATAAAGATTCCTCAATTTATTCGCCCCATTTACAACCCAGAAGTTTAATCCTGACGCTGTTGACAATCTCGGGCCCCAAATCCGGTCAAAACTTGTACCTACAGTAGTTACAATGGCTAGAAAAAGTAAAAAAGTACGAAAGCGGGTGACCCTCAAACTTCTAAAATCAACAAAAACTCTATAACCTTGTTTAAATCGCGACAGCCCCCTTCATTTCGGCCTGCTTCCGCACACCCTCTTGTGTCTTATCAACTTAACCGCCTTCTCACAATTCTTCTCGCAATGGGGGCAATAATACCCGTTGTGTTTCTTCAAGTGAAAAATCAACGTCGACTTGTACTTATAAGCCTTTGAACAAATCTCACAAACATAGGGCGTGGACACCATATGCGACTTCCCGTGTTGTTTCAACCTATTCTTCGTCCGGAACGCCTTTCCACACTCCTTACAACTAAAATTAAACTCGTTGGAATGAAGAGCCTTATGTCCATCAAGATTCCTCTTATCAGAGAACGATTTCCCACAATTTTTGAAATCGCACACGAAGGGCTTGTCTTTAGTGTGGGTCCGCAGGTGTCTCTGTAATTTACTCGGAGCCGGAAACGAGCTCGAGCAAAATTTACACTTGTTGCGGTCCGTGTGAATTTTTTGGTGATTGGTTAAGTCACACTTAGTGGCATAAGTCTTCTTACAGACGTCACAAACATAGGGGCGAATTTTCGTATGAACCGCGATATGCGCATTAAGGGTGACTCTACGTTTGAACTTCTTGTCGCAATGGGGGCACGGAAAAACTTTATCCACGCGACGTTCCGTCTGTTTTTCTACGTACGTAGTCGCAAAAGGTTCTATATTTTCTCGCGCGCTGTAATTAGAGTAGTCAAGCCCGACATTCGTGTAGTTCAAGTCAGGGTTCTGGTACAAATCAGGATTGACGTTCTGGCAACTATAGTTAATCGCAACGTTCGACGAACACGAATCCTGCGACTGGTAGTTCGACGAGTGCCGCAAAACCGTCGACTCTTGATAAAAATCCCCGTACTTCTTCATCCCGTAACCCCCATTCAAATAATCTAAATTCTCCTGCAAGTTCGTGTAACTCGCGTTTTCTACAATTTCCAGCATCTCGTGCTCGTTTATCGAGCAATTCTCCAGCGGGAGCACCGATTCTTTATACAAATCGATTTCGTTACAATCCAGTTGCTCCAAAGTCGGTTTTGCGGTCACAATAACGCTCATTTTCTGCTGCGTGTAGTCCAGAATCGTGTCGTTGCCCCAATCCTGTCGGTTCATCAAAATCGACTCGAATTTCTGATCAGTGGCGTGACAGATGGTCAAGAACTGGTAGAAGTCGTCGAGCTTCAACAAACAGGGGTTGCATACTTGCTTCGGTTTGTAGTCGTCCTTAAAAAGCTGTTTTTGTTGTTATAGAGTGACATAACCTCACTTTCTGCATACCTCTAGTTTCAGGCATTTTTTGATTTTGTCTTCGATGTCGGTCGGGGGGTTCTTGCTGAAGATGAGGTGACAGGTTTCGTTGATTTGGCCGCAGATTCGACACATGTTTTGGTTCCATTGCATTGTTGTGTTTGCGTAAGTGGACATAACCTCACTTTATGACAGCCGGATAAATTAAATATTTGGGGGGTTGTAGAGAGAACAAGAACGGACAAAAGGTATGGACGTGGTCGAAATGAGTAGCAGGAGATTTATTAAAATGCGTTTATTTCACGTAAATGACGATTTTTACACCAAAGATTACATAACCTCACTTCTTGAAAACTCGTATGCGTGCCTTAAAAATGAATTGTAAAACACTTAAATGTTATTTATTCATGAATCGTTGTTCTATTCTCGTTCGATGTTTTAATTACGGTAATAAAGGCTTTGATGGCGATTACCCTCTGCCCTAACCTCACTTTTTCGCCGCGTTATTTAAACACAAGTGACAATTATTCTCGCTCAAAATGTTGCTCGAAGTAATCCGAAAATGGTTAAACCAACGCCTCCAGCTCACCTTTTCTGTGAGTCCGGCTTATTTTTTCGAGGCGACGAAAGACGGGACTCTCATGGCGCGAATTTTGAACCACTATGGGGTTATCACCGATGACGAGCAAAATCAGGTCGTGGAATCCAAAGATCCGCAAGTGATGGCCGAAAACTATTCCAAGCATATCAGACAGTGGTTGCAACGCATCAACTTCGACCTCTCGCCGGAGGAAATAGAGGAGATCACTTTCGGTGACAATTCCGCTTCGACTTCGATATTCTACGAGCTTTACATGAAGTTAGACAATCGCAGAGGGACGATTTATCGTCCCAAGAGGCACGGATTTAAGATCGAAAAAGTGCCGAAAAAGCTCCCCACGGATTTGTTCGAAGTGAACCCGTTGTGCGAGCCTTTGATGAAGCAGTGGGACGTCATCAATTGGGAGAGGGACCACATGGCAGCGCTTATGTTGAAGTACGCCCAGTCCAGATCGCAGTACCACACGTATGTGGAGTCGAAGAAAGTCGAAGAACTGGAGCAAGCGGAAAAAAAGGAGCTTGTTGAAGGGTCTTTGCGTTTGTTGGAACGCGCTAAGCGCGACTATACGTACGAAGAGTTGGTCCTGCAGCAGAGAGAAGCTTTGGCGATGAAACCGTTCGTGCCAAGCAAGAACGAAGCGAAGAAAATCATGAGACAAATTAAAGAGAGGGGAAAGCAGAGAGCCGAAAAGAACGCGTTTCGGTTAGAGCTCCAGCACGAATTCATGCAAGAAGTGTGGAAGAAGATCGACGAAATGGAAGAGGACAACTTGGATAAACTGGTTTGTAACATGTTGCTCAAGCAGTCGGAGCACGAGAAGGAAATCGCAGAGAAGCTTCTCGAAATTCGCAGAGAGAAAGAATTTATGATTGAGAATCGGAAGAAGCAAGATGAGATCGATCGAAAGAAGAGGGACGAAGAGTTCGTGCGAAGACTGTTTGAAGAAGCTCTGGAAGAGAGGATGAAGTTTCACGAAGAACGAATGGCGTTGATCGCCGAACATCAGAAGCTGTATGCGGAACATTTGAGGCTGAAGGCTTTGAAGCACGAAACAATTTGCAAGCAAGCGTTGGATGATATCGTTGACCTAGCCCTTAAATCAGACGAATACAAAAAGCTATATGGAGTGGAGCCCAATAAATACACTCTGAAGGAATGGGCCACGTTGTTTATTAACGAACAGCCGATTTTCGATATGATCGCTCCGGCCGAAATCAAGAAACCACCTCCCGAAGACGTCACCGAAGAACTGGAAGAGATTTACAGAAAAGAGATTAAGCGCCAAGACGTCTTGGATTCTCAAGATTTTGACGATTACGTCCACTTTAGGAACGTCTGGACGATCGAAGAGGGTTTTGAGGAGTCGATGCCGTTAATGGAGCTCGGGATGAACTGTTTGGGATTCGCGGTGCACAAACTTCTCTTGAAAAAGTATCCTCTACAAATTCCCGTAAAACCCGAGCTGTCGCAAGAGATAGAGGTCGCGGTCTGTGCTAACGACGTGACCGACCCAAAAAGAATCGATTGCTTGAAACGTCTACTAAATATCAGAAATATCAAAGTCATACAGATGGAAGATGCAACGGACTTTTGTATAAAAGCCTACGACGCTGAATTGAAGACAGAGTTCGACGATCCCTTCCCCGAAGACGAGATGAATTTAAAACAACTAACACCAAAAGGAAAAGAGGAAGGGAAAGGTAAAGGAGGGAAGAAGGAAAAAAAAGACAAGAAGGGCAAAAAAGAGAAAGGTTCGAAGAAGGACAAGAAAAAAGATAAAAAGGACGCCAGTAAGACGAAGGTTCCTGTACTCACTTTCGAAGATAAACAAGCTCAAACGCCACGTTTGTTCCCGTGGGAGAAAATTATTTTCTCCAATAAAGCTAAACTGGGAAGGATCGCGAAACAAGTTCTAGCACAGGAAAACGTTCTTACCGATCAGCTGCTAGTAGATATGTTTGTAGAGTATCTACTCTCTATGCCAGATATAAAAGGATGGCTTCTGCTCAACTATCCTAACAACTACGAACAAGCAGCTTTACTCGAACAAGCATTAAGCGGAAAACCAGTCCCCAAACAGTATTATGATAAAATACTAAATAAGCAAAGTCTAGAAAGCGTCGGAGTAGATACTCATGACGACGAAAAACGTGAAGAAGAAGAAGGAGAAGTAGAAGAAGGAGAAGATGAAGAATGGCCAGAAATGACCGGTTACAGCAACGAGACCCTGGAACAAGACGATGAAACCGCATCAAGTTCTAAATCTACGTTATCCGGGCCGCTCACGAAAACATCAAGCGTGAAATACAGCGTATTCAGCACCGTCACCGTTTTGACCGACTACGATTTAACGCCCCAAGACAAAGTAACCCAACTCCTACCGGATCTTAAAGATATAGTTTACTCTTCTGAAGAAGAAGGCGAAGAAGAAACAGTTCAATCCGAAAAAAAAATCTGCACCTGTGTATGTAACCCTGTAAAACCCAAGCCGCAGCCAAGAGCTTCTGATGCCCGAAGACAAACGCAAGATACACTTGGGGCTATAAATGAAGAGGAAATCGGCGATGCCTCAGAAACCGCAGTTGGGGATTCAGAAATAAAGGTTAACAGTCAAGAGCAAGGTTTACCCCAGTCGCTGAGGGAAGAATGTCTGTGTTACGTGTTAAACGTGCAACCGGAGGATCTGCTGGCGACAAAAGAAGAGATAACCCAAACAGATATATTAGGTTTGGAACAAGACCTTGGAGATGAACCTTTGCAACGTCCCCTCGCCGAAGATGTCTACGAAGAATGGCGACTATCAAAAATCGTTCCAAATCCCCGCCCGTTGGAAAAAGAAGAGTATTTTACCGTACTTACGGCATTCATTAAGATAACGCAAAAGAGCGAAGACGACGACGAAGAATATGTGATACCTTGTTTTAAAGACTTCGAAAGAAAAGACGGTTTAGAGAAGTTTTATTGCGATCAAGGCTGCTACTACTCGCTGGAGTATGAAGAATTTACTCCGGATACTGTTAAATGCTTGGCGAAAATGGTCGTCGGCGATTATACTTTACCGGTCAAGACGTCCGTCGAGATTTTTGGAGAACATTACAAACAGGCCATGCTCGAAGATGGTGATCATAAAATAACAATGAAAACAAAAAAAGAAAAGAAAGGCAAGAAAGGAAAGAAGAAGGCGAAACCTAGCAAGAGCGACACCAAACAAAGCAAAGAGAAGGGAAGTAAAAAAGGGAAAGAAAGTAAAGGAAAGGAAAGTAAAGGGAGTAAAGGGAAAAAATCTAAATCTTCCAAGTCGTCAAAAACAAAAGTCGGTGAAGAAGAAGCAATAGGACACGAGGATAAAGAAGTACAGGTTCCAACAATCGAAGAAGTCGAGGAGGAGGAACTTCCGGAACCAAGAGCCGGAGAACCTGATTGGGAATACATAAACCTTCCGATACCAGAAGATGTCGAGTTAGCATTGGGTAACTTGTGGGACAATTTCGAGCAAAACTACGTACAGAATTTTAAAGAATTGTTCTACAAGAAGCGAATTTTATTGGGCAGTATTGTCCCGTTTTTAGCTAAAACTAGAGAAACGTTGACAGAAGTTATAGCGAGAGAAGACCCAAAACAGTACTATCTGAGAGAGTTCCAGAAAACTCTCAATCAAATTGACTTATCGCTACGAAACGATCCCAAGACAAAGGAAGAACTTTACTGCAGAATCGACGAGTTTCGCGACAAATTGTTGGGCATTTGTGACACCAAGATGACGGAAACTGAAGAAGAGCGTCGAAACTTCGTCAGGCAGAACTGGCTTTTCCGTCAGTTCTGTGACATGGTAGATAACTTAACCGTCGCTTTTCAATTGGAAATCGATCGTCTCGTCGACACCCTCCAATTCCTGTCGGATTACTACACCGCTGTCATCACCAAATCTCTAAAACAGGGGTACGAATTCCACAAGGAACTTCTACCGAGGTGCGATTGCAACGACGACAGCAAGAGCGAAACATTCAACAACCTATTCATAAACATGGAGAGCGAAAACAACGAGGAGACGGAATTTCACCAAAAGATAGATGTGAACAAAAACATTGCTTTGGCTTTTGTTGAAAGCATGAGACCGCTAAGTGTAAAACCGATCGCGGCGATGAAGAAACTGTTCGAAGCTAAGGGAAAAGGAAAAAAAGAGAAGAAGCCAAAGAAGGGAAAGAAAGGGGAGGGCAAGTTTGAACTAGACGAAGACGTTAAAGAAAACGCCGACAGAATTTTCGAAGAGTGGGAATGTGCTCTAAACGGGGAATTCGCTCGACTGGACATACGCTTGAACGTTATTAGGAATAAAGCTTTCCACCGTTTCGGCAGTGTCATCGCGTGGATCAAGAAAATTTTTTTAATCATGTTCGACGATATTAAGGAGCGATACGAGAACGAGGTCGCTAGCGTTTATAAAGCGTGCCAGTTGTTGCGAGAGTCGGTAGAGAAAGAAGTGATCATTCGTCCAGAACTAACTTTCGAAAACGATCAGTTGGTCGAGATTCAGGTCACTCTTTTCCCGGAGACTTTGGTAATTCCCGAGCTAGATGATTCGGAAGGGACGTTCAAGATAGAGCAGCTTGAGCGTATAGTGCGAATTTTGTGCGATTTAGCTCCGAATGGTTATATCATGAAGAAAACTTTTATGTTGTTGATCCAAGATATACTCTACCAAGACGACATAGAAGAAGAAACTGATACTCCAAAACTGTGGCGAAATTTAACGACTTCCACTCTGAAAGCTCTTTTAAAGAAACTGTTCGACGTCGAAGTATATGTGTACTGGAAGGACTTCATTGTGTGTAACTTGATGATTCCGTTTCCGACTAAAACTGAACTCATGGATATTAGAAATCAGTTTAGACAATTCGACCCTGATTTGACGGAACGCGTGACGCGCGACAATTTCAATTCGATCACTTTTAGCTTTGACGATCGCGAAGATGTGAGAGATCGACTCAGGTCCATAATTTTTAGAATGTACCAGACGGACGAAAACAATTTGAATTACACGGCGATGTTGTTAGACTTTTGTAAAGATAAAGATCCAGTTCTGGGTTTCGTCAAGGCTTTGGAACTGTCTTTGGGCAAATTCATCTGTAACGACGAAGAAGTGGGGAAGAAATTCGTCGAAGAAACTTTAGAAAGCAGAATGTTGTTCGAGCAACAATTGAAAGAGCACGAAGAAACGACAGAGTTAGCCAAGAGGACCATCAGTCTGTTAATCGATAAAATCATAGACCAAGTTGACGGTCCTGAGGGTTTCTCTTTGGAGGAAGTAGAAACAACACCTAATTTTCGATACTCTGGCATCCTGAGAGCGACAATCGGTTCTCAAACCAAATCGGCGCACAGTCAGTTATCCGAAGGAAAGATTGTTTCGGAACGAAAGTTCTCGTATGCGCGGATCGGGTTTGAAGCTGCAGATAACACCCAGTTGTGCTACTTTCTGCCTCTGTACCTTGTGCAGATCATCGTAGAGGCGACCGTGGGTTGGAATTCCAAAGTCGAGTTTCTCCCGTCTCCGAGTTTCAAAGAGCGAGTTGTGGAAATCTACGAAGAATGCAGAAACGAGCAATTTCATAACGTCGTCCTAGCGCACCAGTTTCTCAACAACGAGAAACTGAGAGAGCTTCTTCAGAGCACGAATAAGTTCTTGGCTCACAATCCGGTCCGAATCGTCAAACACATTTTGGAAGACCCGCCCGAAGAGGGGGAGAAGGAAGAGGAGGAGGAAGTGAGCGGGCAGTCCTTCGGATCTGGGACGAATCTCGAGAAACAAAGCGAACTTTAAATAAGAGACGATTAATAAAAATCTTTTATTTTATATCACATTGGTTTTACCTATACATAAAAATATATACATACAGTCAAAATATATTCTCGTTTTCAATTGACAAAAAGAAGTGAGTAATGAGAAAAGAGTTGAAACAAAGTTTTAGATTGGAAACAAGCGGTTTTTCAATTTATTCGCTCGGCAGTGTAACGCGAACTCTGACCGAACGAACCGGCGCAAATCCGTTTACGACTGCGCCAGTTGACTTCGCGGAAAGAAATCAACTATGACCTTAATTAACACTAGTTCTGTCGAATTAATATCATTATAAGTATCTGAGAACCTCAACTTGCGTATCATAAAATACGGTCCATAGGAGAACATTTAAAGTCGAACTTTCGAAGCGGGTAGTTACGTATGTATTCCTACAGGATATGACTTATTCTAGTCCAGACGAACGAAAGGTGTTTCCAATATTGTGAGTTGAGTCGAAAGTGGAACAAAACACCTTCCGCGCTACACAATAGATTGCAAAGTTTGAAAAGAACAGGAGGGATTCACAGCCACAAAATCTCAATAACGATAAATCAGATAGGTAGGCCTAAACTTAAGTAACGAGATTCGCGAAAATAGGATAATTGGTACTTTTGGCACCTACTCTATCTTCTAAAAATCTCACTCGTTAGATTATTCATGTTTGTTTTATTTTATATAAAGGGCTTTTATAGTTGTCGTTATTTCGACTCTTTATAAATTCTACTTTAAAATCACCACCCAACTGCTTAAATATAAGACGTGAACAGATCAAAGACAAAATTCCGTGGAAGACTCAATGCGCTTCGGTTCGTACTTGAATAAATAAACGCGGTCTTATATTTAAGCGGCGAAAAATATGAATACCTGGAATATCGATGGAATGTGACTAGAGAGAATTAAAATTCCTCGACTCGGTCGAACGACGGGTGGAATGTTAAAATTTAATTATGCTATTATCACTTTAATATTATCAGACGAGTCTCTCGATGTGTCGTCTCGCGAAAAACCATAAATAAATAAATCTGCGTAACTATACAGTAAAGGAACATCTAAGTACACCAAACGCCAACTCAACCGAACCAACGCAAAAAGGACAGGTAGCTTCATCACCTGGGCGCATCCAGCCCCACCAAGAACCAAGTGTACAACAAATTCCGCTTACTCCGGATTATCCTATACTCTAAACTGTTGAGTCCGTCTTTATCGAACCGCTTCGGCCCCTGCTTCAGCACGTCGTACCTGCAACCAGACCCTCACCACTAGCCAAACCAAATCCCTACTCACCTATTCGGACTCGGCTTGTCTTTCTTGTGCGTCAGCATCGTATATCGCGCTATTGTCAATGGATACCGTGAAATATACAAGTTGTGATATCTTATTCTATTCGACATGTCGTCGTCCTCGCCGCCCCAGCCCCAGAACGAGTTCGAGAACCCGTTCAATACCTCGAAGTGCTCCCGGTTTATGGCCGACACTCCCCCGAAGATCGCCGGATACGGCAACCTACAAACCACCAATCACACTCGAACCACGCCACCCCGCACCCTGACAATACCTATACTTGAAGATATCCACGGCGACGCTCATGTGCCGCGGCTGCCCAGGCGGACACGTGTACAAGTTGCGGTCGTCCTCGGGCAGGAGATCGATGTCGTGGAAAATGAAGCAGTCGTAACTCCGGATCTTGAGCGCCTCCTTGAAACCCACGTTCATGAGCATGGCGCGGTTGAACGGCCCGTCGCCGTCCTGCTCCACGATGTAGATGGTGTAGTCGAGTTGCTGCCGCTTCAGAAACGGGTGCATGTGCTGCAGGAACAGCAGCAAGTGTTCCCCGCGACACCGAAAGGGGATGATGAGGGCGACGCTCTTCGGGACTCTGCAGGTCTCGGGTGCCCAATGCCCGCCGATTTTCAACCAGGAGAAGCGCTTCTCGAGCTCGAGCACGGTGGGGACTGGAGTCTTGAGGACTTCGATTCGGCCGCCTATCATTACCATCATTATTGTTATTATTACCACTGTGGCGGACTTACGTAAGTTGGATGACACGTCGGGACACAGCGGCACGACCGTGGTGTTGACGTTCTTGGTGGATTCCGTGTCGGGACTGGCCTCCAAGAGGGACTCCGACGAGTTGTTCGACGGGACTTCGGTGATGTTGAGGACGAACGAGGACTTAGTGGAGTTTGTGACCATCGCTTTGGGTTTGAGGCGAAAGCTAGAGACGAGGGGGCTGTGCTGGATCAAGCGTTCCGCGTGAGGCAACCTGGGGATACGATACGAATCACTCCCTGAGTCGGGCTAAAAGGCGCCAAATTTAAAATTATAAATGATGTACTTAGCCATATCGGGACACGATCGCAACCTTATTAATCCGAGCCACTCCCCGACGTGAATACGTCGCGAGGCCATGAGATATGGCGAAAGTTAAATTGCGAAAGTTTGCAAAGTTTATGCAGACTCGGTCCCAATTATTTGCCCCCATTATTAGCTTTAAGGGTAAATTTTCGGGACGCATTCCGAATTTGTACACTAATGGATAAAATTTAACAGTCGTTAATGTGGCTGGTGTCGGAGTCGACGACTCGTGCCTTTGTTCCGCGAAGAACGCAATTATCGCAAAAAGTGTCGTCCGCGCAAAAACAATAATCGTGCGAGGAAGTGTTATTTGCATCGGTCGCCTGCAGCTAACTTCGCTCAGATAATCGACCGTAATTATATTGTGCGTGCAGAGGTCTTGAGAGTTAATCTTCGGTGTATAATTTGATGTTTCCAATTTTGTTCAAGCCGGAAAGGTCACGCTGCGGTTGGGATGTCGTTTACCTTTAAATCTGATAATTATCTGATAAATTGGATGCGAAAAGCTGGCACGCATGTATCGATTCGGAGATTAGTTTTGCATTTTTTATATTTGTAATTATGGCACATTGACGTTATTACGTGCTTTGTCAGCCGCGAAATGGATCAATCGCGTTGCTTGGCAAATACGATCGACGCTAATACCGAAATATGACAAACATGTCGGAATTAATCCCCATAACCCGATTTCCGCTTGATTCGAACAGGCGAGTAGAATAAAAATGCCGCTGACGTCACGCTACGCGCCAAATTTAAATTATGCGAACGCGGTTTGCACTTCTGCGTCCTATTTATAATTCAGGAGCCCCGTAAACGAAAATTATATCCATCCACGCCGTGGTCGTCCGTAATATTAAATTTATGGTCCACCTTTACCATCCTAATACGAACATAAATAACGAAGCATCGCAGACGCGATAGCAAACACAACAATCCCATCCCCACTTGGCAAAATCAACAAACCTCCCTGCGTCTGAATTCTGCGGGTTTCTCTTAATTTAAAAAAGCGAATTCCGACAAAAAGATCAAAGGACAAAAAGTTATCCGGACCGTTTTAAAACGGATAATTTACTTTTCATTAACGTAGCAGAAACAGCCGGCAGCCGGTAATTTTCTGCACACAAAATCAACATGGAGGAGTGTGTTACCTGGTCGCGTTGAAGACGAAGAAGTGCTTGGTCTCGGTGATCGATCCGAAGAGGTATTCGAGGGCGAGGAGGATGAGCACCAGGAAGAACAACCCCTTGTAGAGGGTGCCTGAGCTGTACCAGCCGGGCATCACCCACCCTTACCTTGTTTGGATGGGACAAATCATCGCCGCTCTGGAACAAAGAACCAAGTCGTGAAAGGGGCGAGAGAACTCGATTAAACAGACCGACATCGCGCCTAATCAAATCTTGGAAGAGGCAACAATTTCATTAAAAACCGCAAGGGCTGCCGGGGAAGGGTTGCGTGGGCCGGCGGCGCGAGGAAGGAGTGATTGAGTTGAGGTTAGGTGGACGGGGATGATATTTTTTGAGTTTTAGCTCGGTTATAATAAATATTGCTTAGGGAGCGGGCTTGAAGAGGAGGAGGAGGAAATATTTTACGCCTAATAGTGCTCCCAGGAAGGCGATAAAGCTTTATTAGCGCTTAGCGTTGTTAAGGTGCAATTACTGAATGTCCGTGGAATGAAGATATCGGAGTTTGTTATAATTACCGCCAGGAGTTGAAATGCTGGGGCAGAAGGTTAAAACCTTAACTGAACTGATTGCGCAGACTGCCGACAACGGGTTGAATTCACTTCGACTAAGTCCAGGTGAAAAAAATTTGCAATTTCAAATCCAACGTTTGCGTTATCATTTTATCTACAGTTAGCGAAGAATATTATCAATGTTATTACCGCCAAGGCTACAAGGGGAGACTTCGGAGAAATACACACTCTGCGATTGCATATGCACTAGTGATAACCTACGCAAACTTTAAATTAGTTATGTGTTTATTGAGATAGAAGCGAACGTTGTGGATAAAGTTTGAGTAGCAAATTGGCATCAGAGTTCGTACGTTTGTTTGTAGTAAATTCGGAATCGGTTCATCAAATATGTGTTCGCCCACGCTCGATCAAATAATAGGTTATGTGTACATATGTAGGCGCTCGGAAAACATTTACGTAACAGAAGAGGACTCTGCCAACATACATATGTGAGATTAATTATTGTCGACGAAACACTACTATTTCAATGTAGTAGGCCTGGTGTAATTAATTAAGGAAAGTTTACGTTAATTGGATCCAAGTGGGTCGTTTGTGGTGAGCAGTTTGAGGCGAACGTTCTAATTTAACTTTTGCTTCTTACAATGACTATAATTCATGCTTGGGCTGACTTGGGTTCGTTCGAACTAATTACTCGTCGGGTCACTTCTATGGACTGTTCTTCAGGCGATTCAGCCCCTTTTTCTATTTTATTGTAAAGGATCGTCGTCACCAAATTCAAAACTAGAGCGTCTTCATCCTCTTCTTCGTCTTCGTCTTCTACAGACGATGAAGAAATTCTTGTATCGGACGCGTACTGTTCGGTCGTCGTCAACCTCTTCTTGATCTTCAAGGGTTCTAAATTGTTGTACTTTATTTTGTCGCAGTTGGCCAGATTTTGAAACAGTTGTTCTCTGTTTTTGTACGAAGAATACTTGAGTGGTGGAATCTTTTCGATATCGTCGACAGCTTCGAAAACCGAGATTTTTCTATAATTATCGAGAAGATTAATTTTGACGAACACCCGATTTGAGAGAATCTATGAAATGAGTGACCAAAAAGAAAACGGGTGGGTGGGCGGGGCCACGTTGATTTTTTTAAACGTAAATCGGACCACTTAACAAATTAAAATTCAATCTTCATCTCCGAGTAAATAAAATAAGCCAATGCAATTCAAAACTGGAGGTGGGTAGGATTAATTTTACTCTTTGGTGTCTAGATGCAACTGTCTATCAACATAAAATCCACTTTTCGTCCAATAAAATGAGTGATCAAAAAGAAACCGGGTGGGTGGGCGGGACCACTTTGTTTTTTAAATGTTGATGACGTCATGAAACATTTTTTTATATAGAAAAACTCACTAGAAGCATATGCATACGATGCTTCTTCAGCTCATAGCGATCATCACAAAAAAATAAAATCCTCAAAGTTATGAACACTGCATTTGATCGACTGTAGTTTAGAGACGAGGGAAGTTCTGTTGAAATCTCGGGGGGTTCTAGTGTCTTTTTCTTTAAGATTAAGCTAGAATCTCAGGAAGCGCTAGTGTCTTTTATTTATGGATACGTAAGAATCTCAAGGGCTCCTAGTGTCTTTCTTTACGATTGCGTAAGAATCTCGGGGGCTTCGAGTGTCTTTTTCTTTAAGGTTGCATAAGAATCTCGGGGACCCTTAGTGTCTTTTTTATGGATTGCTAAAGAATCTCGGGGGCTCCTAGTGTATTTTTCTTCAAGATTGCGAAAAAATCTCTAGGGTCCTTGGCGTATTTTTCTTTAGGATTGTGAAAGAATCTCAGGGGCTTCTGGTGTCTTTTTTATAGATGCGAAAGAATCTCGGAGGCCCCTAGTGTATTTTTCTTCAATTTTGCAAAAAATCTCAGGGGCTCTTATTGTATTTTCCTCAAATTTGCAAAAGAATCTCAGGGGTCCCTATTGTATTTTTCCTCAAAATCGCGAAAGAATCTCAGGGGCTCCTAGTGTATTTTTCTTCAAGATTGCGAAAGAATCTCGGGGGCTCCTAGTGTATTGTTCTTCAATTTTGCAAAAGAATGTCAGAGGCTCCTATTGTATTTTCCTCAAAATTGAAAAAGAATCTCAGGGGTCCCTATTGTATTTTTCCTCAAAATTGCGAAAGAATCTCAGGGGCTCCAAGTGTATTTTTCTTCAATATTGCGAAAGAACCTCAAGGGCTTCTAGTCTCTTTTTTTATAGCTGCGAAAGAATCTCAGGGGCTTCTAGTGTCTTTTTCTTTAAAATTACGTAAGAATCTTGAGGGCTCCTGGTGTCTTTTTCTTCAAGATTGCGAAAAAATCTCTGGGGCTCTTTGCGTATTTTTCTTCAAGATTGCGAAAGAATCTCAAGGGCTTCTAGTCTCTTTTTTATAGATGCGAAAGAATCTCAGGGGCTCCTAGTATCTTTTTCTTTAAAATTACGTAAGAATCTCGAGGGCTCCTGGTGTCTTTTTCTTCAAGATTGCGAAAAAATCTCTCGGATTCTTTGCGTATTTTTCTTCAGGATTGCGAAAGAATCTCAGGGGCTTCTGGTGTCTTTTTTATAGATGCGAAAGAATCTGGGGGGCCCCTAGTGTATTGTTCTTCAATTTTGCAAAAGAATCTCAGGGGCTCCTATTGTATTTTCCTCAAATTTGCAAAAGAATCTCAGGGGTCCCTATTGTATTTTTCCTCAATATCGCGAAAGAATCTCAGGGGCTCCTAGTGTATTTTTCTTCAAGATTGCGAAAGAATCTCAAGGGCTTTTAGTCTCTTTTTTTATAGATGCGAAAGAATCTCAGGGGCTTCAAATGTCTTTTTCTTTAAAATTACGTAAGAATCTCGAGGGCTCCTGGTGTCTTTTTCTTCAAGATTGCGAAAAAATCTCTGGGGCTCTTAGCGTATTTTTGTTCAGGATTGTGAAAGAATCTCAGGGGCTTCTGGTATCTTTTTTATAGATGCGAAAGAATCTGGGGGTCCCTAGTGTATTTTTCGTAAAGATTGCGAAAGAATCTCGGGGCTCCTAGTGTATTGTTCTTCAATTTTGCAAAAGAATCTCAGGTGCTCCTATCGTATTTTCCTCAAAATTGCAAAAGAATCTCAGGGGTCCCTATTGTATTTTTCCTCAAAATTGCGAAAGAATCTCAGGGGCTCCAAGTGTATTTTTCTTCAAGATTGCGAAAGAATCGCAAGGGCTTCTAGTCTCTTTTTTTATAGATGCGAAAGAATCTCAGGGGCTTCTAGTGTCTTTTTCTTTAAAATTACGTAAGAATCTTGAGGGCTCCTGGTGTCTTTTTCTTCAAGATTGCGAAAAAATCTCTGGGGCTCTTAGCGTAGGTATTTTTCTTCAGGATTGCGAAAGAATCTCAAGGGCTTCTGGTGTCTTTTTTATAGATGCGAAAGAATCTGGGGGTCCCTAGTGTATTTTTCTTAAAGATTGCGAAAGAATCTCGGGGGTTCCTAGTGTATTGTGCTTCAATTCTGCAAAAGAATCTCAGGGGCTCCTACTGTATTTTTCCTCAAAATTGCGAAAGAATCTCAGGGGCTCCTGCTTAATGTATTTTTCTTTAAGATTACGGAAGAATCTCGAGGGCTCCTCGTGTCTTTTTCATCAAGATTGCGAAAGAATCTCAGAGGGTCCGAGTGTTTTTTTTTTTTATAGATACGAAAGAATCTCGGGGACCCCTAGTGTATTTTTCTTCAAGATTGCGAAAGAATCTCAAGGACTTCTAGTCTCTTTTTTTATAGATGCGAAAGTATCTCAGGGACTTCTAGTGTCTTTTTCTTTAAAATTACGTAAGGATCTCGAGGGCTCCTGGTGTCTTTTTCTTCAGGATTGCGAAAAAATGTCTGGGGCTCTTTGCGTATTTTTCTTCAGGATTGCGAAAGAATCTCAAGGGCTTCTGGTGTCTTTTTTATAGATGCGAAAGAATATGGGGTCCCTAGTGTATTTTTCTTCAAGATTGCGAAAGAATCTCGGGGGCTCCTAGTGTATTGTTCTTCAATTTTGCAAAAGAATGTCAGAGGCTCCTATTGTATTTTCCTCAAAATTGAAAAATAATCTCAGGGGTCCCTATTGTATTTTTCCTCAAAATTGCGAAAGAATCTGGGGGTCCCTAGTGTATTTTTCTTCAAGATTGCGAAAGAATCTCGGGGGCTCCTAGTGTATTGTTCTTCAATTTTGCAAAAGAATGTCAGAGGCTCCTATTGTATTTTCCTCAAAATTGAAAAATAATCTCAGGGGTCCCTATTGTATTTTTCCTCAAAATTGCGAAAGAATCTCAGGGGCTCCTAGTGTATTTTTCTTCAAGATTGCGAAAGAATCTCAACGGCTTCTAGTTTCTTTTTTTATCGATGCGAAAGAATCTCAGGGGCTTCTAGTGTCTTTTTCTTTAAAATTACGTAAAAATCTCGAGGGCTCCTGGTGTCTTTTTCTTCAAGACTGCGAAAAAATCTCTGGGGCTCTTTGCGTATTTTTCTTCAGGATTGCGAAAGAATCTCAGGGGCTTCTGGTATCTTTTTTATAGATGCGAAAGAATCTGAGGGTCCCTAGTGTATTTTTCTTCAAGATTGCGAAAGAATCTCGGGGGCTCCCATTGTATTTT